GATGTCGTGATTCTTAGCGTCACTTCATATGCTAGCTACAGCAAGCATGTGTTGCGCGCGTTTGAGGTCCCGTATGCGGAATATATTAGGGGGTAATCTTTGGAGCAACCCTACTTTGTTTCTGAACTTCGATTCTTTGCGAAAAAGATCGATTTTTAAATCGGTTTGAATCGAAACCTGATCACTGACCTCTATATATACAAGTACGCTGGACTGGCTATACCATACAAAATGTCTGTGCCAATTTGAAGCACCGCTAAAGGATGTCTTGAAAAATAAAATTGACATAATATGCCAAAGTCTGTTGTCTAATTTATATTGTCTTATTCAATAAGTCTGTATTTTGAACTTTTAAACTAAATAACGAAAGTATTTTATGTTGTTTGATTGTGTATAATATTAGTTACATAATAAGAATTATTTTTAATAATAATGAGAGTGTGCGTAATCTGTAAAATTCGTTACCAAAAGGGAAGTGGTATATAACATTTCACAAGTAAGTGAATTTGCAGCAAATATTAAACAAATTAAAACTATTTGATAATATAAGTACTTATAAATTTGTTACTAATATTAATATCATATATACCAACATGTTTGTCTGTATATTACTGAGTTTTGATAAAAAATTAGATTCAATAGGGTTGTCGAGTTCCTTGTCTTACTTATCGATGTTCTTTCCTACCCATATCTGTTAACAAACAAAGTCGCCAACAACAGGTGATTATCAACATTCCAATGTGTTCCATGTTCCAAACATTTCACAGACGACTGTTTTATTAGACATGAGAACTGCACCACTTTGAAAAAGTGCAGTATATCGACAATATTTTCTGGTAGTACCAGTACCAGTAAGTATAAAAGTATTAGATTATTATTTCGAATGTTTTTTTTATTTCTTCATTCCTCATTTTCCACCAAACTCAAGGGCCCCATAGCCAAGTGTCAATAGGTCGCCTGATGATGTCGAGCCTGAGGATGTGTGTTAGTGGGCTGTGGCTAGAGGAGATTCCTCTCCCTGTACCGCTGTAGTCGAGGTGGAGTCGTAAGGGAAGAGGAGTGTTGGTATGGCAATTGGCGATGCGCCACTCGACTATCTTTCGCGACTTTGGTGAGGCTGCACCACTTGATGCTTCCAAGTGCTCGTTTTTCCCTGGATTAATTCACATATCGGGCTCGGTGAGTCCGTAGTGCAGGTGGAGTTAGAGGCCGCCAAGGGCAGTGTGGCTTGTGTTTCTGGTGCGCCTTATCTGAGAATGTAAACGGGGAGGAGAAGTCAGCAACTAAGGAGAGGCTGCCATTGGGCGGCTGGTGCCAGAGGGACCACGAATGTGCATGAAAGCATTTCCGTGACCTTGCCAATTTGCGGCGGAGGTAGAACACCACGGGGTTTTAGTAAGTGCAAGTCTATAGATTTAATTCTCTCTCGAGTCTCAAAATTTAATTTGTGCCAAAACTTCATAGTGGCCCTACTTTAGTTTCTTTCTTATTTACAAATTCTGGCCGTCGTTTACATTCACGATTTTTGGCAGGTTCCTCTTGCGCAACATCCACCTACAAAGGTAATCAAGTGATCGATCAAGAAAAGTGTTGGCAAGCGGGTTGGCAACCACAGTTTTGTATTTTTAGTCATTATTAGGAAGACGTTGCTGCCCATCTCCTGTTCCAGTTGTCCTCTGTCGCCTCTTACGACACTCACGGGATGATATGGGCCAGTGGAAATTCTTACATCGCCACTACACGGAGTAACAACTTTTACATAAGGAAATATTAAAATAGCTTACTTCTTTTTCTGCTTAAGAATTCGTATAGTATAAAGTTTGGTACCCGAAGTAAACCTTTTTTATGCGCTGAAAACTGTGTTCCTCGTTTGTTATTTAAGTAAAGTAAAGGAACATCTGAGTACTAACACTACATGTTTAAGAGCGGATTCGACCAAACTTACATAAGTCTTATCCTGCTTTAATATATAGTGATAAAATCACTTGTTTACTCTATTTTTGATTTTCCAAATCTTAATCCAGGAATAACCGTCTATTTGAGAGTTAATAGCTATACTGCCAAAATTCATAGAATAAACTGGTAACCTCAGCTTAATTAAAACTACTTTTACGGGTTTTATCGCGTTTTATTTATTTCATTTTCAATTATGTATTTACCTCAGATTATTTTTGTGGTGAACGCTACACTTTAACCGTTGTTTTTGAATGCTCTGTAGAAAAAGTAGTATATTTTACAGTTGTGCGTTTATAATTTCTTGTATTTTTAGACTACGTTCCCTTCTTTCTTGGCACATTTTCACATTTCCAGCATTCTTGGGACGATACCACGGAAAGTAGGACTGTATGATAATTTCAGTTATTTTTTATTATTTTTTAATATTGTAATTTTAATTTCGAAAATCACATAAATAACTGATAACTATGTAATTCAAAGTTTATATTTTTTATATTATCTTGCTAGCTCGTACCCGGCGCATTGCTGCCGCAGAAGAAATAATTGTGGAAATATCGTCAAAAATGTGTAACAGTTATGTTGTATAATTAGGAATGATAATACAATCATTGAAATAGAATGATATATATATATATATTACTTTCTATACCTTTCAAATAAATAGTCAGTATAGTACGCACGCCACCTAGAGTCAGTTAATTGTACCATGCGTGTAACTTTCGCACAAGTGCAACCAATAAGTCGACTAAGTTTTACCGCAATCTAATGAACGGTATTGCATCGTAGAAAGTACGAATAAACATAAATTTTATATACATAGTAGAAAATATTTTACTGTATATAGACAGACCTGCAGTTGATTAGAATAGGCGTTATTATAGCAGCTGATTTGTTTTTTATAATACTAGAACTAAATAAACGGTTGACAATAAATTATTTTAGAAATTATGTTTTTATTTTTATTTTGTGTGGTTAGTTTAATCTTAATAATTTTTTAGTTGAATGGTCTAAGGGCTACGATGGCTATCCGAGTACAGAACCAGAGTACAACACTAATCCAACTGTAGAGATGTGTAAGACAGGGTGACGTAATATCCCCCGAAATACTTTACGGCTGCATTGGAAGACGTTGTCAAGCGGTCTGGAAAGGATACAGTAATAACGTCAATGGCGTGTACGTCACTCACCTTCGATATGCCGATAGTATAGTCCTTATGGCATAATCGCTGGAGGACCTACTCACTATGTTCAATGACCTCAACAGTGTTAGCCAACGGATAGGTCTTAAAATGAACATGGACAAAACAAAAGTCATGTGTAATGTCCATGTCACGCCTATGCCGGTGGTTTTTGAGAGTACTTAGCTGAAGTTGTTGACGAGTATTTTTACTTGGGACAAAAAGTCCGACTAGGTAAGTTCAACTTCGACCGACAAGTCAATCGCCGGATTCAGCTCGGCTGGGCAGCGTTCGGGAGATTACAACACATCTTCTCGTCAGGAATACCTCAAAATCAGATTGTACAACCAGTGCGTGTTGATCTGAGACGAGGTCTTTCACTGCTGGCCGTATGAGGAAGCTCAAAGTCGCTTAGCGAGCTACGAAGAGGGCTATGCTCAGGGGTTCAAACCTAGGAATAAGGATATCTGCAGCAGAACCAGAGTCACCGAGTTCGACCAATGAATTAGTAAGCTGAAGTAGCAATTGACCGGCCATATAGCTTGAAGAGCCGAATACCGATGGGGGAAAAAAGGTTCTCGAGTGGCAGCCTCGTACGGGCAGGTGAAGTGTAGGACGTTCCCCCACTAGATGGAGTCAAAACCTGGTAAGACATATAGTAAGTTGATGGATGCAGGTGGCTCAGGACCGTGTTTTGTGGCATTCCTTGGGGGAGGCCTATGTTGAGCAGTGGACTTGTGAAGGGCTTTAATGATGATGAATGATAGTTGCATTATATTAATATGATATATAAATAGAATGGACGTTACGGGAGAGTCCATTCTATTTATTTAGAATTTTTATCGATATAATTTGGTACACTGTCCTATCCCTATTATTAGTTTCCTGGACGTGCACTTCTGCTGTCAGCGCCAAAATGGCGGAAATCAAATCGCTTCATCATGTCACGGTGCATAGCCAGTCCAGCGTACTTGTATATATAGAGGTCAGTGAACCTGATGAATAGATTCACAAAAAAAACGAGGTCTGAAAGATCGATTTCTCAAAAATCGATCTTTTTTCGATATGCTTAGAGTGTATATTTACAATATCAAAAGATACAACTAAGCACAGATTAAAAACGTAAATTATGTTATATTTCTTTAATCCATTAACAAGCGACGAAAAAAACTGAGCACACAGCAGTTTTGCGTTTTAGCTACGTTCAAATAAATGTAAATAATTTTATAGTTCTTATAAAAACAGAAAAATATTCGTTCTTGGTTTTGCAGGGTGAAATACCAATTCAGTACTATATATCGATTTAAAAAACGATCTTTTTGGTACAAAAAATTGATTCTTCGAATAATCGATCTCAAATCCCATGCCTATTCTGAACGTCATCTACTATGGCATTTATAATAATACGTCACTATGGCATTTATAATACCGATAATTTAAAATGTCTATTCGTATGTGACAAAAAGTTGTCTCGGTTCACGCTATAATAGCCTTTAAATGTAGAGCAATACTGTACAAAAGTAAAAGTTGCTCATACTGTATTGGTCATATATTAATATACCTAATTTACTCTCCTTATAGCAAATGGCATCTCGTCATTCTCGTATCGCATGAAAGTGACAGTTTGCTTGCTTTTGCTTTAGCATAGCTAGGTCAAAATTATGAGACTAGATTTTAAAAAGAAAATAAGATTTTTACATATGTATGATATTTTAATCAAATAGATGGAATGAAATATCAGTATTTTTTTAACAAAAGTGTCAATTACATGTACTCCAAAAAAACATAAGACATCTGTGATTCTTCGTACTGGTGTTATCAATTTTGTTTGTTGTTGCAATTTTATAAAGTAATTTTATCTAAATCATGACGGAAAGTAAACCTCTAGCAATGGCGACAGCAAACGGTCTGATGGATAAGTCCAAAGAGCTTCAGAAGGAAATTCTCATGGAAAAATTAAGGTCCAAAACGTCACAATATAAAAATCTAAGTGAAACCTCAAAAGCAGTTCGTATGGCTATGCTGGTAGGTTTCTTTTCCTTCCAGTATCTTCATGATTAAAAAAATATTTTCACATGCCTAAATTGTCATGCTAAAAGTACTTGAACACAATTACAATTACAACTTCTGAGGGCCTATACTACCTCAGCTCAAATTCTAATGTCGCCCCACTTCCTCGCGCATCGTATGATATCTACCGACATGTTTGTAATCACTAATACTGTATGTAGATAGGTTGTTAGATACTTATTTCATTAGGTTTATCATATTTATGCCTGTTTCTTTACGCCAACCCAGTCACTTCTTATTTTTGTTATGGTTGTTTCCCATTTTAATTTCACGTTGTCTTATTGCGTAATGTGTATTCTGATCATAAGCGACATAGCTTTCCCGTTCAAAAGCCGCATCCAGTGGCAGGGAACAAGCTCAGGACGCCGATAGTTTAGGTAATTTCTTTTCACAGTGAAAATAATGGTAATCCAAATAAAAATTAAAAAAATGAGCCCTGCTTATTAGTTAGTTTAGTTTGTATGCAAAGTTTTATGATCTGATTTAAAGTATTTTGTGAAAACCAGCAGTTTATTGTTCGGATTGGAGGTAAATTTCTCCCAAAATTCATTTGGATTTTTTTTCTATCGAGAAAATTTTACGGAATCGGAATCTTTACGATTTTGTCTAACATAGTACTTAACATTAATCCTCAATTTTACCATATATTTATTTTAAAATTAATGGTGAAATATTTTCGGTATAACGGAGGATCTTGCTAAGCCATTTGAGGTAGTATAGGCCCTTAACAGTAATACGTAGTAGGAATTTATTTATTAGGAATATGATAAAAAGAACATATGCATATTTATTTTAATAACATATTCTCTAATTTATAGGACAAGAGATGGGCTGTAGACAGTGCTGATCGACAGATCCTCCAAAAATGTCTAGATAGTTTACAACATTGTATCAAAGTCAGTTCATTGCAGAGTCTAATAGAAAGACTTGAATGTCTTTCAAGACAACTTGGGTTGGTATTATAAGACTTGAAATATAAAATAGTAAACCTCTTGTTTATTTCCACAATAAGTAGTAATTTATGTTATAGAATCAAAAATACTTTCTTATTTGCTATAGATGGATAGTAATATAATTTTATGAATTAATTAAAAATCATAATTTATTTCAGATTAAAGTTTGTTGTTGGAACTTCAGGAGTCAATCTTTTCATATCATCTGATATGTTCTATTTAGAAATACTTGTTGAATCATCAGGATCGGTTAAAGATGTAAAAATTCATCATGAAGGAAAGGTAATTAAATAATTTTATGTAGCCAACTCCTTTTTTAGTGTCTAATTAATCTTCACACTAAACTAACACATGGTTCATCAGTTATAACAATATATTCATTCATTAATTACATCATTATAAAATGTCTGTTACTGAACATAGGCCTCCTCATAGAATGCCTCATGAGGAAAGAGAATGCTGCATGTTGTCATAGTTGCCATGCAGGTGTCATTGCAACCGCAGGTTTTTCAGTTGTTATCAAGAAGATGCTGCTGCCCATCTGTTTCAATTTCCCTCTGTTGCCTGTTAAAACACACACGGAGTAATATAGGGTAGTGGATATTTTTACACTGCCACAACTTGGTTAACGCCACAGCAAAGTTATACCTTTACTCTGAAATAGAAACTTTTTTATTTAATATCGATTATAAATAATACTTTTTGAAACTTTTAAGCTGAACTTAAAGAAGAGAAATTGATTAACAATGTTAAGAGTTCTTGGCCAGCAATACCCATAGGTGTTCTTCATGGTTCGAAACTTATCCCGATCTTGTTTTTAATTTATATTAATGACTTACCTTACATTGTAGGGGACAACCACATTTTTGTATTATTTGCTATTAATAATATATAAATACTTCATTAGTTTTCAAACTAATAAAATATTAGTAAAATATGGCTAAGGGAAATAATGCTATGTTGAAATTAGTATATTGCACTATAACGAAATGTATTAAATTTATGAAAATGTTAAACATATAAATATTAATATTATTTTGAATGAAGAAGTGTTAGATCTTATTGATACTATAATTTTTCTAAGAATCACTCTTGATGCCAACCTTAAGTTAGTCTCCTATTTACCTAAACAAACAAGCACACCAAATGCTTGGCAGCATATGCTGTAGAAATTAGAAGCCTGATTTGTGTTGAACAGCTAGATTAGTTTATTTCTTCTTCTTCTTCTTCTTTCTTTTGTGGCGGTTTGATAAAATTCGCCAATGACGTATTGAGTGGAAAATTAAAGCTTATGATTTTAATTAAAATAAGAGTCTGTGATAATACAAGGATTCAGTTTTCTTCCGAGAATTTTGACAAATCTATTTGTTGAATTACCTAGAACAAATATGACAAACACAGGTGTTAGACTCTTACCAGTATGTTAAAAGTGACAAGGATTTAAAGTTTCATATTATTAGTATTAATAAAATTACATAAAATATACACAAAAGAGGTACTGGTATATGTTAAAAGAGAATTAAAATCTATAGGTCGAGGAATTTAAGGATGAAGGTAATCAATCGTAAAGGGAGGAGGATAATTTGGGACAGTTGAAAAAAATATGGTTTGTGGAACCTTCATCTAAGCCACATTCAGACAATAAGCTATCCCTTACTCTGATTTTTGCCAGATGTGCATGTGTACAAGCATGTCCAATTCTTAATCTACAAACGATTGAAGTTGCATGTTTATTTGCTTTGTTAAATTTAAAGAACCAAGGCTTGGGAGGAATAACCTCTTGGATGGCAGCATAGTGCTTACCTTTAACATTTTTGGAAACTTCACATAATTTATTCCAATTTTCATTCAGTTTCCTTTTAGCTAGCAAAATTAGGTCATGTGAGTAAATAAAATTTTGTAGAATGCCATTAGAAATTGAATTTTTAGCGAATACATCAGCTGTTTCGTTACCATGGAAACCACTGTGGCCTGGGATCCAGGCCACTGAAACATGGATCCCTTTAAGATGGCATCTGAATAGGGTATTTTTTATTTTAAGAATTAGTGGAAATTTATGTTTGTTATGGAATTGATTGGACAAAATAGCTAACAAACAACTTTTTGAATCTGTGAAAATAACTGTTTCAATAGATGTGACTCTACATATAACAAAGCTTCACTGATTACAGTTGCGTCACCGGTAAAAGTGGAGGACAGTGAGCATTCAAAGTTAAGAATGATTTTGAACTTAGGAATCCAAACAGCAGCTCCAGTATAGTCTTCATCAGACTATTTGGAAGCGTCTGTGTACATGACAAGCCAATCTTTAAAGGTGTTTTCTATAATTTCTTTTAATTTCAAATTTGCCATTGGAGAATCCTTTTCTATACCTAGATCTAGATAAATGTCAGGTTGGTAAACAATAGCTTCGTAAAGGACATCAAAGAGTGGATTTATTTTACATTGAAAGATTGGGTAAGGACGCTGAAGAAAAATTACAAAACTTTTAAACAAGCAGGGAGAGTCCTTATGGGTCCAGTATCGGTCAGATGAGATATACTCTGAAAGAAGATGCAATTTAGGAATTAATTAAATAAGAATCTATCTGAAAGGTATTGCCTTCTTAATCTTAAAGGAGGATCTACGCACTCAACCTGAAGAACATTTATTGGTGAGGATTTCATTGCCCCTGTAATAATGCGAAGGCATTTCGATTGAATTTTGTCCATTACTTTCAGGGATGATTTATTGCAAGGCTCCAAGAGAAAACATCCATAGTCAAGGTGGCTTCGTATTAAAGCATTGTACAGTAATTTCTGAGAAAAAAGGATGGGACCCCCACCAAACACCAGACAAAGACCGAAGAATATTTATGTTTTTTTCGCATTTTTGTGTTATATATTCAATGTAATGACCGAAGGCCAATTTCGAATCGAGGATAACTCCCAAAAATTTAACATTGCCTCTAACTGGAATAGGTTGCTTATCATATACAACAGATATATCGGGAACTCGCCTTTGGCGGGAAAAGATCACCACACTACTCTTGGCCACAGATAAAGAGAGGCCATGATTAGTTAACCATTCTTGTAAATAATCCATGGATGAGTTTAGACGGGAACATGCCACTGTGAAGTTGTTTAAGGAGATGTATAGAGCTAAATCGTCTGCATATTGAAGAACATTACAAAAAGAATTTACCGAAAGTTCTAAATCATGAGTATATATAGAATAAAGGAGAGGACTAAGAACTGAGCCTTGTGGAAGTCCTTTCCATATAGTTTTTGGGGGAAGCAGGAAATTTTTAACATTTATAGATATTGATCTAGAAGAGAGAAAATTAGAGATGTAATTGACTATCCTCACTGGAATACTCAGATTAAGCATTTTCTGCCTGAGCCCAGGAAGAAGCACATTATCATATGCAGAAGAAATATCCAAGTAAACTCCTATGAGAAATTCATGTCTTGAAAAAGCAATATGAATATCTGTGACCAAAGTACTAAGGCTATCAATGGTACTGTTACGAGCTTGAGGTTCGTGACAATAAAAATTGCCGATAGAATTACGTAAATTAACACTTTAATTTACTTTACACAAATTAAAGTTAAAAGCACTAATAATTAAACACACTAATTCACTTTATTCCGCTCCGAAGCTTCGCTTTTCTCGCCAAATCAACACTGCCTCGATCGCATCTTGCAGCGCCTATTTATATAAATTAGCAAAGAAGCATCCGGAATATTCTAGTAAATGCGCGCAAAGGGATGAGTGTGCGAGTGTAGATTTTCTAGAAACTTAGTTCTTCGGATGGCGCTGTCGGTTGAGTGATTTGTGATGTAATTTTCTCAATGCTCCCCTCGCTCTCGTTCCTGACACTAGATGGCGCTAGTGTATCGTCGACTTGAGCGCGTAACAGTACTTAAACCTTTTCGGAAACCGAATTGGCTTTTAGGTAAGAGATTATTCCTTTCCAAAAACCATTCCAAGCGATTTTTTATTAAATGTTCTTAGATTTTTGCCAAAGTACAAGAAAGGGCAATAGGTCGGTAACTGCAAGGGTCATTGCTAGACTTACCTGGTTTGAGTATAGGCAAAATAATTTGGGTTTTCCATTCAGCAGGAGGATCACCAGTAATATAAATAAAATTTAAAATGGATAGTAAGACAGTTTTAGTGTTCTCACTACTATTAATTATAAACGAATAAGGAATCCCATCAATACCTGGTGAGGAGTTTTTAGGGCATTGAGTACAGTAAACAATTCTTGAGAAGAAAAGGGGGAATCAAATTTATCATTTGTTTTAAAAAAAGCAGAATTAAAAACTAGGCATTCATCATAAGATGGGACTGTTTGTGGTGCAAGTTTATTAGAGAATTCATCTATCCACAGAGAAGGATCATTAGAAATTATATTTTCACTAGAAACCGCACAGCAATATTTTTTAACATTTCTTCAGACCAAAGATGGGGGAGTCCTAGGTGACAGTGACTCACAGAATTTAAACCAACCAGTTCGCTTTTTGTCTGACAGTAGTTTTAAGGTTTCTGCAGCAATTTTTTTATAGGAGATATAATTCTCTACAGTCATAGAACGGGAGTATATTAACTCAGCCTCTTTTCTCCTCCTGCAAGTAACTGAACAATCTTGATCCCACCAAGGAGGGGAAGGATAATTATTTTTGAATGGTTTTTTTAAGGGGATTGACTTATTAGTAGCAGAAAGAATTGCATATCTGAACTCTATATATAAAGGAGCAATATTATCATTGTTAATTGGGGGACGAGTTGAAACCTCTCGTTCCAAAACTTTAGAATATAAATGCCAATTAGCTTTGGATAGATTATACTTTAGTCTCGGGCAAAATGTAAAATTTATTCTAGGGGAAGTAGGAGGAGTGATGAATATAGGAAAATGGTCACTGCCATAGCTAGAAGGTAATATTTGTCACCAAAGAAGGGAAGCAATATCTGGGGAGCAGAAAGTTAGGTCAACGGCACTTCTAACATTTTGTAATGGGGATACTCGACAGGTAGGAGACCCGTCATTTAGAATACAGAGATTAAAATTATCAATAAGATCTAAAAATAGGGGAGCCAGTGAATCACACAGATGGGAGCTCCAAACAGTATGATGCATATTAAAATCTCCCAAAATAACTATAGGAGGTGACAGAGAAGAAATAAGTGTTGCAAGTTCTGTTAAAACATTTACATCAGGATTAGGAATGTAAACAGAGAGAATAGAGACATCAAGGGCCTTAATAGCAACAGCATTTACTGCTGGACTATGAGAAGGGAGAGGAATTTGTGAAAATGTAACTGTTCTTGAAATTAAAATAGAGGTGCCAGCATGACCATCACTCCTATCATCCCGGAGGCATGCATAGCCTGAAACCCTAAAATGAGACTCAGGCTTAAGCCATGTCTCCTGAATGGCAAGAATGAAGGGATGAAGTTTATTAATGAGGTAAATGAGTTAATTTTTTTATTTCTAATGCTCCGACAATTCCATTGAAGAATTGGTGGGACTGCAAATGTTACGGGCTAAGGAGGAAAGCTAAGTAAGTTTTTGGCGTAAGCTGAGAGGAAGTTCTGTGTCACTAAAACGGGGATGTCATGTGGAATCATGTTAATTAGCATTGATATCATAAGTTCGCAGAAATTATCATTACTAGAGGAGTTGTTGTCATTCCCCAGTAGAGCACACCCATTAGGAAGCGAAGAATTAGGATTCTCAACAATTGACTGATTAGCTGCCATATCATATCCAGAATTTAATGATTGGCTGTTGGTACATTGAGGGATAAAAATTGTTTTTGACGTGACAACGTCTTATAAATTGGTTTGCCGGGTGACACTTCAAGAAACTGCGTTACGCTCCGCTCACGTTATGCGCTCACAATGAGAGCGAGTGAGAGGCACGCGTCCCTTCCACTCGGGCATGGTTAGCCCGCCTAAGAGCGAGAGAGACAGACATAAAAAGTGAAAGGCACGCGTCCCTTCCACTCGAGCACAGTTAGCCCGCCTAAGAGCGAGAGAGACAGAGCGAGAGAGAGAGAGTGAGAGAGATAGGCATACACACCGGTTCATGTCTTGCGCTTCTATTTCGCTTAGGCGCCTGCATACAAGTTTACACGTTGCCAGTTAATTGTAAAACGATTGTGTAGTGATAATGTGAAGGTAGTTTCGTCCATCGCAACAATTCAAACAGCAAAGGTAAATAATTTCAGACTGATAATATAACATGATGAAATAAATGACTAAGACATAAGTGAATAGGTTATGTTGTAGTAATCACATTGTTGTGGTAGTTTTCAATCAAAAAAGTAGTATAAATCGTTTCTCAACCAATAATAATTTGTTTAACTTGAAAAAATGAGCGCGACTTGCTATGTAAAAAATTGAAATAACAATGTTTAAATTGTTATTATTATTATTATTGTAATTGTGTATTTTTAAATTGTTACTATTATTTCATCCTTCTTCCTACTATACGAATGAATATTCACATTAAAATTATTTTACCACTCAAAGTCGTTGTCACGTAAAACTTTCGCCCGTATACCGACTTTACAGGCAACCAATATTTTTTTTTTATATGATGCAGTTTGTGAGAGCTGAGCCGAAGGGGTTGAAAGACTGTCAGTTATGGTATAAGGGGTCTGTTGAGAACAATTACGAGACTGGATTCTTGTTGTATCAGCAAAGGATCTTTTTGTCTGAGGGAATCTAGCTGAAGCTTCTAAATATGTAATATTTTCTTGTGACATAACAACTTTAATAGATTTTTGCCTTAGATGTTCAGGACAAGTAGGGTCTTTTGCGGTGTTGCTTGTGCTCAGGTCTCCGAGCAGAATAGACAAGTAGGAGTTTGTCGAGTACAAGATAAACCTTCATGATTCTGTGCACATACAAAGCAGCGAGGGGATGATCGGCACTGGGAAGTAACATGGCCAAATCTACAACATTTATGACACTGAATTAGTGGCAAAACGTATTTTTCCACTGGCATAGAGGTGTAAAAACAGTAAATATGGGGAGGAAGTTTTTGTCCAGAAAAAGTTAGGACGACTGTCTGAGTTGGAACCCATAAAACGCTATTGCTGTCACTCAGTGTTCGTCTATTAAGTCGCCGTGCTTTAATTATAGAGCCGTAGCAAGAGAGAACTTCTATAGCTGCTATTAATTCTTCTAGTGTCCACTCTATGGGAACTTATCTAACTAGCCCCATACAAGTGATACTATATGAGGGGATGATTGCTTCATATTTAGAAATTTGGAGAGCTGGGTGATCGATAAAGGTGTTTGCATCTGCTGTTGTTTTAAACTCCACTGATATTCTATTTCATCCAACTTTTTTGACTCCATCACGAACTATATTTTTAATATTGTTATGATACAGAAAGTGACCGAATTTAATTGGTTTAAGAGTTACTCCAGACAACTGATCATTTGAGATTTTACTTACGTGAACTAGAAAAGGAGCGGCATCATCTTGAGAGTACTTAACTTTTTTATTAATAAAATCAGGATGGGTATATGAGGATTGTATTGAAGGAAACTGTTGATTTAGATCAGTAATAACTACTTTTTGTGGATGGGCAGACTCGTTACTTACTTGGGCACGTTTACGGTTAATTAGTTCTATATTATCAATATTAATGGGGAAGGAAAAGCAAAAAAGGCACGACACCTGTATCTCTCACTTCCTCCTCAAGTGCTCTTATTAGTTTGTCGATTAGTTTATTTAATTATTTCCATAGTATAATGTCTTGATGTGAATCTTCTTGTTTGCATACCCCATATGCAACTGACATAATTACACTAAACTCTAATCATTGTTTTGCAGAAGAGTCAATTTTATGTACTCTTTTAAGAGCTTTTTATAATCGAAATGTCTCCTTTTTTAAGACTAAAATTTAAAGAAATAAATAAACTTTTCCCTCTCAGTATATTTCATTATCATCATCATTTTTATCATTATAGCTTATTAAAATCTGCACCTGAACACAGGCCTCTTCAAGGCTTCTTCATAAGTTTTAAATCCCAAAAAATTATTTGTAATTTGCCATGTTTGTTACACTTGGCTGGTGGGCTTACAACTGCAGTTTTGTATTTTTCAGTTGTTATTAGACGCCACCCACATACAATTAGGGTTAGGGGATAATCTTATTCCAACACTCCACAGTCAGTATATTTACGAAAATTATCTACACAAAAAGGATCTGATGGAGTGACAACCTGGTAAGACATGCAGGAAGTTGATGGATGCACATGGCTTAGGTCTGTGCTTTGTGGTACTTCTTGGGGGAGAGGAGGCCTATGTTCATCAGCAGACTTGTGAAGGGATGTAGTGATGATGATGATGATGACACAATGACGAAAAGTATTAAGTCTTTAAATAATAGGATCAAGCACAATCTAATAGCTAATACTTGTAACTTAACTTCAATGGGTCAGTAAGGCCTTCATAGGGCAATGTATAACATAATGTCTCAGAAAATATCCAGAGTCTGTCTATAAAAATGCTTAATTTTTTTATGGAACTTAAGCTTTGTATAAAGAGTTGTTACAATATTAAAGAACACACAATGGACAATAACTGCTGGGAATAAAGTGATCACTACGAAGTTGATTCTTATGTTTGATTCCATTGTAGTTCAGTATAAAGTATTATAAATTATGATTTTAAAAAGAGTCCTATTGGGTTTTTGCTTATTTTTCCCGGGGCAGAGGTGTTTTTCCAATCCAGTGGTTAAAGCATAAATGACTTTTAACAAGTATAACTTGACACCTGTGTTGCAATTTTTTTTAATTCGTAATAATGTAAGGTAATTATTTTAACTACAATGGTTGAAAAAATAACATTTCTTAAACTAAGGGCAACAACAATTTTACAATTTGAACTGTCAATTTATTCTTTTTTATGCAATAAATTGTCTTACTTATTTTTAGATTGAACAACAGAGTTGTGAAGAAATGGTAGCTTGTATTACTCGAGGGGACTTTGCTGACTTCACTGCTCAACTTGAAGGGCTCACTGCTGTTTATCAGTTAAATGCAGAAAAGAAGGTATTTTTAATTGAGTATTATATTACAAAAACAATTACAAGTAGAAATAGTCTAATTTGAAATTCTTATCTTAATCTCTTATTATAATTATCACTTTTATCGTGTCAAATGTTGTAAAAAAGTTGAAATCTATTTACTAATACTCAATAGAAAAAGTGGACAGATTTAGATTTAATGATGAATAATTATATAAACCTCCCAAATTATTAGTGTGGTGCATGGAGTTTAAATTAAACAATCTCCTCACATATGTTTAAGATATTGACATTGTATCTCTATTTAAAACGGTAGATTGATATTGGGAAGATATTATTCATTCTACTATATATTATTCATTCTTCTAGTACCTCTGTGATAGTGGTATTTTTGTCAACACTTCACTTCGTTGTTTTTTTTATAGGATTGGGGTGACAAACCATCACATATTCCACCTGATGGTAAGTGCTTACCATGGCCTGTAGACATCTACTTCTATCCTCAATTACGAATCAAAATTGCAGATACGTTGTCACCCATAAGGACTAATATGGAATGCCTGTTTTCCAGTGAAAAGGGTTTCTGGTTCTCTACACTCAACATACAAAACACAACACAGCAGGGTAATGTTGTATCATGCTGTGCCAGCCATAATACCATTCATTGAATCTACCATGTTAATGTGTGGAGTATTTTGTATGATGGTTGCTGTAAGTGTGATAAAACATGTTTAGTAAGAGGCAGATGAAAAAAGTGCGAAATGCTAGTGTTGTTACACGGCTTAACATTGAACTCAATAATTCGAAATGCTCTTGATGCTGCAACTCCCGTAAGATGCTCTATAGCATTGAAGTGGTTTAGTTAGCACTTCGAACAACAATACCAACTAGATAACGGGTCACGTACAAAATCATAGCTAAATACTGTCCGCATGAATATGAACTATGTTAAGACATAAATTAAATAACATTTAGTGTGAAATCAACCTTAAGTTATAACAAATAAAGTTCTTTTTCCCGTTATTGCCTTACGAGCTACACTCTCACGTGCAAGAGCTCACGTCTCATGTGCGCTCTTATTTACTGAGATGGATTTATTGCGCCGACCCGACATCTAGTTGTTGTTGATGGAAGTTTCCGTAACTCCTCGCCTAAGCGCGTATTTTGCATGTGGGCAGAAATAATGTTATTATTCAAACTATGAAATCGCCCCGAAGAAGTTTAACAGTCCTTTGATGTTGCAAGGAACTTCAGAGAGTGATTCCGGTATGCCGAGATGTTTAGAGCCCTGTATGCATCGACCTCCAGACATGTCAGCAACACGTGAGCCGCCGTTTCTTTCTCCCCCATACATGCCTTGCACTGGGGAGCTATCTGTAACACATATGGTAAATAAATGTTTGTTAAAGGAGCCATGTCCTGTGATAGCACTTGTTACTCTCCTGATCTGTGACTTGTTCAGTATCATTAGAACAGTCATGGTTAGATGACTGTTTATTTCGAGCAGGGAATCCCTAGCTTGTCTACTTTTTCCAAAGCTGAGCGTGTAGATTAGTGAAGTTTCTATGTACCAACTAGTGAACAAACATAACCTAAGGGGATTGGTATTATTGGTTCCGGCCCAATAGTGGCCAAAGCCGATTCTCTTCTGTCCAGTTCGTCTGCTGCATCGTTGCCTCTGGATCCACTGTGTCCCTTAATCCATTGCAGAGTGACATTGTTGTGCTTACATACTTCATTTAATCGTTGATGGCATTCATATATTAGTCCTGAGTTCACCACATTACAACTCAGAGCTTTTAATACCGCCATACTTCGGTCAGTATTCTGATTGAGAAGTCTTTTACCTTCCTAGCATCTATTGCTATGGCCGCTTGGATGATACCTATACATTCTGCCTGAAGGACTGTGTTATGGGTACCCAGCGGTGTACATATGTGGATATTAAGATCTTGAGATAAAGTTCCAGATACTACACCTACATTTGTTTTAGAACCATCCATGAAATCTCTAAGCTCTTTTGGGTTTAATCCCTCCAGCTGGTCGGTTTTATTTAATTGTATCTTATATTTCTTATCGAATACAAATTGTTTTGGGATCTTATCGTACTTGGCTTTCAAGACAGGAATTTTTGAGTAAATTCTATCAGTTATACCTCTATGAGGGACTCTACTCTTACTCAAAAGATTTAAGGTCTTGAGTCTAATGGCAGCTAAAGTTGGTTCTTGTTGTATGTGTACATGAAGCGAGGTTAACTTTAGTATAGCCTCTAATGCTGCTGTTGGTGTAGTTCTTATGCAGCCTGTGGCAGCCATACATGCCAATCTCTGGTAACGTAGCATTGAAGTATATTTGCCTCCAGCAAGATGCACTTAGGTTATTAACTTTTTTTTTAAATAATAAAATAAATAAATATTACTAATTTTTCCTTTAACCACTACGAAAGCATAAAATGCTCGTGTTAGGATTGGTTCACGACAATCGTCGAATGACGAGTTTGAACCTACAACTTTACTTATTATTGGGCTACTGGTGCTTAAGATATTAGTTTCAGTATATTTTAGTTTATTATTATTATGAATTGCAGGTAAAATGCAAAGCTTTCAGTGCTCTTCAAAGCTTAGAAGAGGATTTATGTATGCTGCGACAGTTACAAAGTTTCATAAAAGATCCTTGGGCTCAAGTCCATAAAAGTCCCATTGGTTTTCTACAAAAACGTCGAGGAGGTATTTTTTTCTTCTACATTAATTCATTTATAAGTTAACTATTAATATAAAGTGGAGAGGGTTTCTTAGGCTGTTTCTTTCTGATCAGAGGAATATATAAATTACACTTAATTTTAAACAATATAAAATATTCTGTCTAATCATTTTACTTCAGAAAGGTATTATCACTTTAATTGCTGTAATAATACCTTTGGCCGTGTGGTGGGGATAGGGCTGTGGCTTTTTTCTGTTCTTCCTGTTAAGTTTTCCTTAAGATTGTTTTTGTATCTTGTGTGTATATAAATAAATTTAAAAAAGGATTTCTTATATTTACGCGAACACTACACATTTAAATACATAATACTAGGTTTTACGGATTTTATCGCGTATATTTAACTTTTTAAATACCCGACGTTTTACTATGACATCTAACCGCGGTTAACTATGGCATCTGGACGTTGAACATCTCAGTCCCCCCCCGTGACCATGGGTGCTGTAAAGTACTCGATACGTCGGGTATTTAAAAAGTTAAATATACGCGATAAAATCCGTGAAACCTCATATTATTTAAAAAAAAAGGAGTAAAGTAAAAGAGAATAACTTATGGAAGTTTTCAAATATTTAAAATCAAAATTGTCGCTTATGTTTGCTTTAATTTCACGGTCACTTTTCAGGTCACGCAATGCGTCTTACATACTTTGTGTCACCCTATGAATTATTAGACAAAGAGAAGGGATTACTGCCTTTAACAGTTGAGTTATTAACTGTCGGAAAGCCTGCTGTCTCCAGTGGCTTCGCTTCTTTGGTTGCACCATCACATACACCAGTGGGACATTCGGCTACAGTGCTATTGGAAGGGTCTACGGCCAACAAACTGCAACTTGCGCCAATTATATCAGGTGGACAGAGACCAGGAAAAGGGTAAGCACTGCCAATATATTTTAAAATTGTTTTTTTTATTAATATTTGTTTTTTAAAATATTGATTTCTTTATTATAACAGAAGTGGTCCTGTATACGCGCAACTTGTGCCCCAAAATAGCGCGATGCTACCAGCATGCTTCACATTGAAGCTGTCACAGCCAATGCCACTCTGTTCTGGCCTGGCGAAGCTTATACACGCTACTACTGAGGTGACCATTTACAATAAGTACAATAAAACAAAGCTCAAAGTCTATGATAAAATAAATATTTTTATGGATAACATAAGAGTGAGATTCTGCTCATCATCTGAATGTACATCATCTTTTTATATAGTAGAGTCATGTTGCGGCTATATTATGGTTGTAGCACAAAGTCAACTCGACCAGGGAAAGACCACGCTCTTACAGAATACCAGCGTAAAATAGCAGCCCAATACTGCTGTGTTTCATATGGTGAGTGAAGAAAACCGGAGACCCATTTTACTAGATACGAGGCATTCCATTATAGTCCTCAGGGGTGATAATTCATCTGCATTTTGATTCTTAATCGAGGATAGATGTAGATGTCTACGAGCCAGAGTATCCATTTACCATCACGTGGGCTGTGTGCTTGGTCGTCCCCATATTCTATAAAAATGTCTATTTTAATTGTTATGTTTTTAAATGCAATAGATTATATTATATGCAATAGATAAAATTCTTGTGTAAAATTTATTATGCCGGCTTCTCACTGCGTGTGTTATCATGAGCCGCGTCGCCTGAGTTGATTTGTAAGCACTAGCACGCGCCATGCGCGAGGCCGCGCCACCCGTTTTCACTAGCGCGGCGCGTGATAACTTCACACGCTGTGAGAAGCCGGCATTAGACATGCGCGCCGCGCCGCGCCTTTAAAGTTACCGACTTTGAACGGATAGCACACGCCGCGCCACGCCTGCCCGCGCCGCGCCGCGCCAAGTCCTTCACACTACGCGTGGCGTGTGCGGGCGCGACGCGGCGCGTGATAACACAAGCAATGATAAGCCGGCTTTATAGAACTTACTTCATTAAAGTATTATTAACTATTCCCCTTTTTATAAATAAAATTATTTACCGTAAAAGTCGTCAAACACCTGTGATACCTGCGGAATTTCTAAAGTACAAAAAAAAACAGCCTTTATAAGTCCTACTCCTGGGGACGGACACACAGACCTCATCTCATCTGTGAGAGGGTTTTCACCATTAAGACAATTTTAAAAAGATAAACTTTGCTTCTTATAGCATGTTATTTTTACGCATAGTTTAAGAGATAATAAAAATTACCATAATTGAACACGGATCGGCGCGCGATCGACGCCCAGCTACTTGATACTTGAGAATCGAGAGAAACCTTCAGTGAATGCCTCTTTAGGCGAGGTGTTATGTCTGTGAAACCACAGAGCACACACGAGGCTTAATACAGTATAAAGTGTTTATTATCTCGGCTTCGTTTATTTGCGATCCTTTAAAGTTGATAAATATAACTTTTAACTATTAAAATAAAAATAAAAAATAATTATAATTAATTATATTGAATAAAATTATCATATCAAAACAATTCTTAATAATCTACGACTTCATATCTTACCGATTTATAGACCACCTTGAAAGTAAATCAATTTTTGTTCAATAAAATGATTGACATAGAATGAAGTAGACGTCGTTATTACAAAGCAATTTTAGTTGAAAGAAATTATTTTTTGGTTTAATTAATACACTAAAATTTAGGCTCTACATGTTTAAAATAAGGATTGTCACATTTGCTATAAAATTAAACTTTTATCATATATTTTATGCTGCACTTGTGATTGAAAATTATCAAAGTTAATAAATCATTTGCTGTGATATATTTTTGTTTTTTATTTTATTTCATTTAAAGGTTTCAGTTACGTGAAAGAACTCACACAACTACACACATGCCTTTCTTAATTATTTATCAATTGTTTTTAGGTAGAAGTTTCTGGCGACTGGGCCAATGCGAAACCCATGCTAGGTTTGGTTGCTCAACAAGCATACAACAAACTCTCTCCAGGAAAAATTATTGAACTGAATCTCAGCAAGGGGCTCTTTGTAGTAAGTTCTAATAATTTTTAATTAATTGTGGCTTAATTATCCAGTAAATAAGTTAAACTTTATTTTATATATTTTTATTATTTTCTATAAATATAAACGTGAAATTTATAAGGCAGTGCTTGGCTGCTATCCCACCTGATGGTATTGTTGATAGCAAACGAAGATGGTAAAGTAAAAGTAAAGGTTTAGCTCATCATCATCATCATTACAGCCCTACACGTGTCCACTGCTGAACATAGGCCTCCCCCAAGGTGTGCCACAAAGCACGGCCCTGAGCCGCCTGCATCCATCGACTTCCTGCATGTCTTACCAGGTCGTCACTCCATCTAGTGGGGGGTCGCCCTACACTTCGCCTACCGGTACGAGGCTGCCACTCGAGAACTTTTTTCCCCAACGGTTGTCAGTTCTTCGAGCTGTATGGCCGGCCTATTGCCATTTCAGCTTACTAATCGTTGGGTTATGTCGGTCACTCTGGTAATACTGCGGATATCCTCATTTCTAAGTTTATCACGCAGAGAAACTCCGAGCATAGCCCTCTCCATAGCTCGCTGAGCGACTTTGAGCGTCCTCATACGGCCAGCAGTGAAGGACCACGTCTCAGTTCCATATGTCATCACTGGCAACACGCACTGGTTGTACAACTTAGTTTTCAGGTTTTGAGGTATACCTGATGCGAAGATGTGTCGTAATTTCCCGAACGCTGCCCAGCCGAGTTGAATCCGTCGATTGACCTCTCGGTCGAAATTGGACTTACCTAGTCGGACTATTTGTCCCAGGTAAACGTACTCGTCAACAACTTCGAGCTTAGTGCTCCCAACAACTATCGGCATAGGTGTGACATGGACATTAAACATGATCTTTGTTTTCTCCATCTTCATCTTAAGACCTATCCGTTGGGAGGCACTATTGAGGTCATTGAGTATAGTGCTTAAGTCCTCCAGCGATTCTGTCGTAAAGACTATATCGCCGGCTCAGCTCAACAAAGTCCTATTAGGAATTATTTTACGAGAGGGACCTCCAGTTGCCCATAAATAAACATTAGATTAGCTGTTCTCAAAATTATTCAATCCAGTCCCCCTGCCACAAGCTGCTCCCCTCAATCCATGACGCATTTAACTATCCTATTTATGAGTATTGGCTATTTTTGATTTTGATAACACTGCGAGGGTGCTGGAGGCAGAAACAACTGCCCTCGGGACGTGCTTCCAATATAGCAAAGCGAGAGAGATGGGCCCCGGTGGTGTTTCTAATGGAGATCCCGGAACCCTTCATATATACGCTGATGATGACCAGCGTGGGTTTTAGACGAAAAGAGTCGGGCATAACCTTTCTGTTGCCATCGCAGCAGAAGGTATCCATGAGGATTTCCTTAGGATAAAAAAAGCGGAATCGTGTTCAACCATAGACCTGTAGTTGATTAAAAAATATAATTTTAAACAATTCATACAACAGTCCTTGTCTTTTATTCTTCCGTTGCAGTGCTTTCCTCTTTCCCGTGAAAATTGTACAGTTTAATAACACATTTTTTTTTTCAATTTATTTATAGAGCATTTTATTCGAGTTCTGAATCAAAAAGTTTTGATAAATTTAATGCATAATAATAAGAATCATCGCTACAAAAACACTTAACGAAACCAAATTGAAAATGTGTTTTGTATATATATTATTTCGTAGTGAGTTGAAGAAATAATGCCCAACAGACCGTTCTTAACATTTAAAAACAAACAATTTGTGTTGGTGTATGCATATATTATATATGGCGTGTGTGGTTCGCCCGTAGCACTTGCCGGAGCAAACGCAGTGCTATTTCATGTGCGAGTCGCGAGGACTGGAGGGCTGCGTGGTGAGCAGCGTACCCTTCACTCATCCCTCGCACGTGCCGCCGCTGCTCGCTTGCTTGCGACAGCAGGCGCTCTTCAACGCACTCGTCACCTCCTGCGTCCGTCTACAGACCAAGCAAGGTATAGTCAATGACGCAATGTGTAAGCGCTGACCGCTCACCTTCACATGCGTGGTATATACGTGGTAGAGCCATGCTGCAGTTGTATTAGTAGTATAGTTATAGCACGAATGTGTCGGCTCGACCGGGGAAGGACCACGCTCTCACAGAATACCAGCGTAAAATAGTAGTTTAATGCTGCTGTGTTTCGTATGGTGAGTGTAGAGAACCGGAGACTCTTTTTGCTAGAAACGAGGTATTCCATCTTAGTCCCCACGGGTGACAACGCATCTGCATTTTGATTTGTAATCGAGGGTAGACTGTGCTAGTTTGTCACCCTATCCTATAAAAAAAACATGCGCTAAAATAATTTATTATAGACTAGAGACACGCCACGTCTTCGCAAGGGTGATTTCTGGATTTTGATAACAGTGTCACCTATCGATTCAAATTGTGAATTTAAACCTTTCAAGGACTCAACCAAACACAAAAAAAATTATTAAAATCTGTTGACCCGTTTTTGAGTTTAGCGAAACTAACGGTCAGAAATATATTTTTTTAAATAAAGGTCTGTTGGTGGTAGGAGGTGAAACCATTGTCCAGTGTTTAGTTCGGTAGTCGGTTATCAGAGCGAGTAGTATATGACCTTAAAATATACAATGACATTATTATGGCGGCTTCTCACTGCGTGTGTTATCACGCGCTGCGCCGCCCGTGTTGATTTGTACGTGCAAACATGCGCCACGCGCGAGCCCCGCGCCACCCGTTTTAACTGGCGCGGCGTGGCGCATGCTTGCCCAAACTCCGAGCTACTGAGTTAGTATGTTTAGCGTAGCGCACCTGATGTCGTGTGAGTCGAATTGCCACCTCCAGCCATGGAGCAATGCCACTGAAGAAGAAGGCATCGCTGTTGCTTCAGCCGCTTTCGTCTTATTTTGTGGATATCATTTGCTTAATAAAATTAACAAAAAAAAAGAAGAAAAGGCGCTGGTAGATGACATCGTTAAAATTAAAAATTGAGCAATCGTTTCATTAGACCACTCCATATCTATATAGACATGAGAGTACCTCAACGTCGGACGAGTTAAGACGAAATGAACGAGTTCAATCTTGTAAGCACACGCCGCGCCGCGCGCACCCGCGCACCGACGCGCGATCCCCCGGTGCGTCACGCCGTATTTTTGAAGTTACCGATTTTAAACGGATAGTACGCGCCGCGCCACGACTGCCCGCGTTACGTCAAACCCTTCACATACGCGTGGCGCGTGCGGGCGCGGCGTGGCACGTGATAACACACGCAGTTAGAAGCCGATTTTAGATGAAAAATGAATCAGTACAAAGTGATACAACCAAAATTATCCTTAAACTTGTGTTTATCAATCGTTCTCTTTTACTCTCGTAGGAAAAACATAGTCATCGTAAACAGTTCACTGCTGGAAATGAGTCACTCCTAAAGTACGAATTAACAGCAAAAGCTTCATATATTTATCGTTATCGCTACACTTGTGAGACGAATAATTGCAATATTAGTATAGTATATAATACATACGTAATATGCCTTCAGGCTTTTCTTCCTTGATCTAAACCTGCAAATGACGTAATGAAGTAGGCTGTATGAAGTGAGGTAAATACGAAATTATTTAAATGTCAAATATTAATGTCTCGGTTTTGTTTATAAAATACGATTATATCTTTGACTTCTACTTATTTGATTCACAATAACACTCACGTTGACTTGCCTTGCTATAAGAAACAATCTTCTTGAAACTAATTCGTCATAATAAACAAAGTAAACACCAGATACCGTACAAATATAGCAATTTTAAATCCCTTTTTATGCTTTCATATGCTATTCAATTGAATTCATCAAATCATAACAAGTAAGCGAAAAACAATGTTTATGTTCGGTTTCTGTAAACATGTAATCTACATATTATTTATGTTAATTTTTGATTTATTATTACTATTTCTATCCTTGACAAATGTAGCGTATTTTTTAGACAATCATAGACTGTTATGACGTCATCGTTGGCAAATATTTGAAATGCTATCAAGGGTATGTTCCAAAATAGAACCCAGTGTACTGTCCAATGCAAATGACGTCATTAATCGACGCTATACTGATGATTCGTTCCAAAACATAAGACAGTATATGACGTCATACAATTGCGCCATATTGAAAAAGTGTTGGCGATTATTTTGTCATTTTGTACTCCAAAAATTATTATATCCTCCTAATAAAGATACCAGCAATTATTCTACAATTTTTTGTATATGAATAAATAAAAACAAATTCTGGCATGCTTCATTCAGCGCACACACAATTAAAAATTGTTTTATTATGGCCGCTTATCCGACACAATATGGCGGCGGCACGCTAGTACAATATGGTGTCAATTGATGACGTCATTTGTATTCGGCAGTATCGTAGACAGAGAAACCTATAGACTAATGATTAGCGTGGCCTTGAGTGAGAAAGGACGATAACGTAGTTTTAGGTTATACAATAATCTTTATGACTTTTAAACATATTTAGATAACATTTTTAATTGTTCTAAGAACTGAATTGAACAAGATTCACCAACCTTAAGCTCGGACAACACTTTTTTCTCACTTAAACCAACTTGTAAACTCCTTAGATCGCTGCGAACTGTCAAAGTTGTTTAGAAAAGTGTAGTTTGCTAAATAAAAAAAACCGGCACGGAGAAAGGGACAAACAATCACACCGCTCTGTCTAATTTCTATGCACGACGTATGCATAAATCTATCTTTTTCGTGTGCGAATGCGAAAGAAGGCGTCAATTTGTCTATAGGTTTCTCTGTCTACGGGCACTATACTGAAAACGTTTCGGAACATACCCAAAAAATTAAGTACTGCTTAAAGTCTGTTCGGCGAGAGTTAATTAATATTATGAATAGCAAATAGCGACTGTCGCTTAAGTATCGCAGTCTGTATGACAGATTATTATCGAGCTGCAATTTGTAATGAGTTTAGGAAACCTTTTTTTATCAACTCTTGCCGAACAGAGTTTTGAAAAAAATATTTAAAATTAGTGTTTATAAAACCTAATGTATACAACAAAAATATAAAAAACGACATCTTTAAGAAGTTTAAATATCATATTGTGTTATCATCATGCAAAGTCTCCTCAGAAATAAGAGGCCTGTGCCCAACAGTCAGACATAATAAATAGATCTTTACTGTACTAAACTTTATTGCTTGCAGCTGTTGACTTAGAGACTGTACTGATGTTTGAAGTGAGCGCCCTATCCTGGCAGCACATCTCTATTTCCTTGGAACATCCTCTTGACGAGAGTATGGCGACCGTGGAACTAGAGTTATCAGATCCAGCGGCGCCTCGGGCTTCAGTGTATACACTTAATTCACCTCCCAGGGAACAGATTGATGACTACATTAGTAGAGTACTGCAGAAAAGTCATTCCATTCCTATTACTTTAAGGTTAGTAAGTTTTAATAAACAGTGTGTTATGTGTTTCTTCTTTTGATTTTTGGAATAAGGGTTTATAGTCCTAAATTCATTAGTACTTAACATCAGGAACAACACTCTTCCTCTGATGCGAAACGAATGTAGTTTGATCAAACAATAAATAATTTAGCACTTATTCTGACGATAACTTATGAATTAAAAAATAAAGATATTGATTAATTTGCAACCTTCCGCTAACTAAAAACAATGATGTGTCTTACCTGGATTGAAGAGCACCTCCCGCCCTCCCTCAATTGCGTGCACTAATTCCGTCACCACTAGTCCCAGCACCACTACTTCCTACACTACTATTCCCGGCACCACTACTTCCAACACCACTATTCCAGAAAAGACACACCATCGACGATAATATGACACGTGTTTGGATTATATATATGACATAATGGATTTCCGCAAAGTAACGCCTGGTTCTATCAATTAACTTATACATTATTCAACAATATATTATTTCATATTGTTACGCGCCTAAGTCGACGGCACTAGCGCCATCTAGTGTCAGAGACGAGAGCGAGGGGAGCTTTCCAGAAAATGACATCACTAATCTTTCAACCGACAGCGCCATCTAGTCTCGAACCGAAAAACTAAACTTCTAGAAGTTGAAACTCGAACTCTCGGTACCTTGCGCGTGTTTACTTGAATATTCTGGATATTTCGGTGCTAATGTATATTTATAGGCGCTGCAAGATGCGATCGGGGAAGTATTGAATTTGGCGAGATAAGCGAAGCTTCGGAACGGAATAAAGTGAATCAGTGTGATTAATTATTGGTGTTTTAAGTTTTAATTTGTGTAAAGAAAATTAAAGTGCTAATTTAGGTAATTCTATCGGAAATTTTTATTGTCACGAACCTCAAGCTCGTAACAATATTAATGATAATTGTTTTTAACGTCGTTCCATTACCAGTACAGCTTATCAAAAGTTCACTGCTGACCATAGATCTCCCCCATTGATTGCCTATCATTGATCATTGCTGGTACTTCCTACTGTCTGGTAGGCTGTTGCCCAGTTGCGGACTTTATAATCGCTGAAGATGAAAACTAAAACCCGCATATATATAGGATATACTGTTGTGTACTACAAGCCTTCACTCATTTTTGGCCGGGATCGAAAGAGCCCACCGCGTTGTTTCTGTGCTGTGGTGGACTTTAATGTTTATTTATGCAGGTTTCTTTATGAAGAAAGAAGTTTTTTTTTTCACCACCTCAAAATACACTTACAACAATCCCCCCTCGCCACCCCACCCACCCACTCTTAACACTAACATTGAATTTGACAATTTTAAATATAGTAAAAAAATATAATAAGGTAATAATACCTTACCACCCAACTTCGTTTAAAATGATATTAAAAATTTACCTTACCACCCAACTTGGTTTAAAATGATATTAAAAATTTACCTTACCACCCCACTTGGTTTAAAATGATATTTAAAATTGTCAAATTACCTTACCACCCAACTTGGTTTAAAATGATATTTAAAATTGTCAAATTCAATGTTATTGTTAAGAGTGGGTGGGTGGGGTGGCGAGGGGGGATTGTTGTAAGTGTATTTTGAGGTGGTGAAAAAAAAACTTCTTTAAGTGTAGCGACTAACCGTCCGGCTACCGATCGCGGGTTCGATTTTGTCTCGCAATAATCATATGTGTGGCCTACAAATATTTAATACTGATTCAAGTGTTTGTTTTTCTAGAATTAATGTAAGTAAAACAAAGAAGAACTAAGTGATCGGCTAACGATTACTAGCTTTATTTCTTCTCGTAATAACCTATGTAAACTACAAATATCTGTTCTTGGTTTGGTTCTAAATTTTGTCTGTAAAACCTTTCCTTTCCTTAACACAAAAAAAAATGGTAGCGTGAGGGTGGTGTTTTAAAAAAAACACAAAATAGAATATGTTTTTCTTTAATTCAGGTCGTTGGTAAAGATATGGGAACGCGAGGCAGCGACGAAGCAGATGAACGGCAACTACTCTGCGCTGGACTCAAATTTTAGCTGCGGCCTGGGCGGCCTCGACCCGGGGGGCGAGCACGTGAAGCACGAGCCCGCCGCACACGCGCGCGCGTTGCACCCCGCCGCGCCCGCGCCCGCGCCGCCCGCCGCCCCGCACGCGCACCACGGAGGTGACACCTTTTGACCAACCATTACTGTTACCGTTACAGCTTACTAAACTCCACTGCTGAACATAATCCGCCGTAGATTGCCTCATAGGGAAGATATTTGTCATAGCTGCCACGCTGTGCGGGCGGGCTAGCACTACTAACACTACCACACTACTGACACTACAACGCTACTGACACTACCACACTACTGACACTACCACACTACTAACACTACCACACCACCCCTTATCGTCCGGTGGTTGTCGTGAGAGGCGACAGAGGGAACCAAATCAGGAGATGGGCTGCAGTGTCTCCCTAATAACGACTTTTGACCGACATCCTAGTTTTTATTAGTTAAACTTGGTATTGGACTCGTATTGATGTACTTTTGCCAATGTCGAGTATTTAAGAAAATTTAAAAAATAACATTAATTTCCTTAAAAACTTTTATATGATGATACCTCATATTGTGAACTTTTTAAGAGATTATAACGGCAGCTTGAGTTAGCACAGTCGATAACGATAGTATCTCAAGGCGCATAAGCAGACACATTATCCAATGTCGAGTATTTAAGAAAATTTAAAAAATAACATTAATTTCCTTAAAAACTTTTATATGATGATACCTCATATTGTGAACTTTTTAAGAGATTATAACGGCAGCTTGAGTTAGCACAGTCGATAACGATAGTATCTCAAGGCGCATAAGCAGACACATTATCCAGTGTCGAGTATTTAAGAAAATATAAAAAATAACATTAATTTCCTTAAAAACTTTTATATGATGATGCCTCATATTGTGAACTTTTTAAGAGATTATAACGGCAGCTTGAGTTAGCACAGTCGATAACGATAGTATCTTCTATCAGGTTCACATCACCATCAGTTGTTTCGTTGTTTCCACTAATTATTCATAACCACAGACATTTAATACACAAAATCACACTACTTTTACGTATCAAAATCTACTTCAAACCATTATTTTAACAACCATGCAATCTGCGACCGATCAAGTTTCCGTCACCTCCACCATCGATTTTTAAAAAAAATAGGATATAGTGACAAGCGAGCACACAGTCCACCTGATGGTAAGTGCTTGCTGTGGCCCATAAACACCTACGTGTATCCTCGATTACGAATCAAAATGCAGATACGTTGTCACCCGTGAGTACTAAGATAGAATGCGTCGTTTCCAGTAAAAAGGGTCTCGTAGTTAATATTTATGTTATTATTACCGTAATATGAGAACATTTTTGTAAGCTATAATCGCGCTGAAAGCGCATACACATAGAGCCTGTGTGCGCACGTATACACAGACTCTCACGCTCGCAATTAGGTTAGGTTTTAATCAAAATCGTTAACGTTTAGTTGGTTCGTTTTCTTAGTTTTACTACATTTTTATGCAGCGGAGGATGACACGCGAGCACACAGTCCACCTGGAGTAGCTCTACAGCAGGTGAACACGGTAGTCTGTAAAAAATTTCGTTGTCCCTCTAATAACTAAGATGGAATGCTTCTTCGCTTACTAACAACATTAATCTGCGTAGATCGGACCAAAGACAATAATTAAAAAGCTGAAGGTACTTCGGGTTAACTTTGACATCGGCACGTCAGTCACCTCAGTCCCCCGTGACCATGGGTGCTGGAAAGCAGCCGAAACGTCGGGTATTAAAAATAAAATAAATAAAACGCGATAAAATCTGTAAAAGTAGTTTTAATCACCATTAATCTGTTATTTTACTTAAGTTTTACTTGTTATTTTACATAATACTAGTTCTGTGAGAGGGTGGCCTTCTCTAGTTGAACCTATTAATTCGTGCTACATCCACATCACAGCTTTTACTTCATGTATTTTTGTGTCCTGTGCTATCCTGTGTGTATAAAAAAGCTATTTTTTTCACAGGTACATATCTTTCAGAACAACATCATCTATCAATGTTGTGTCAAGATCCAAACACAAGCGACATTAAACCGCAGGTGTCGGAAGAGCGTAAATCTAAAAAGAGAAAATCTGACACCGACATTTGGTCGGCGAGCCAGAAAAAAGGAAAACAAGGGATTACTGAAGCAGCAGATTCGGACAGTGAAAGCGATAATTCAGAGTACGTAAACGAAGATGACAACACTATGAACAGTAATTCATCTAATGACGATTTAGAAGGCCGGGAGTCTTCAGTGTCACAGAATGAGTTCGCTTCAGACTTGGAACTGTCAGCTATGGACGCAACAGATGTTTTAAATGCACAGGACAACAGAACTTCTTCAGACATGGAGAATTCAAATGATGGAGAAGCAGAAGAAATGATTCGGTTGGTAGAAAATTTGTATTTATTTACCTACTTAAATTTATATAAAAATAACGTTTTGAATATTTTGAGTAGGCATAAGATAATCTTCTAAAAAACAACTTTACTTTTAATAACCGAAGACTTCTATGTATACTACTAGACGAGAACTACTGTATAAGGGTTTACCCACACGTACCACAACCACAACCATAACACGTGGGCGGGCGTATTTTGTATTGAAACAGAAACTTTTTTATTCAATGTAGATTATAACAATACTTATTGAAAGTCACTTTTTTCATTTAACACTGGTTCGCAAAAAAAGCCATTGTCCTGGGAAGAACCAGCAAGAAACCCAGCGGGACTACTTTTGTTCCAATCGTAGCTTACAATCATGTTTACAATTAACAACACAAGACAAATTAGAAATAGCTTGGTAGCGATCACCCTTCCCAGGGGTTATTATCATCCATAAATTCCTTAATATTATAATAACCCTTTTTATAAAAACTTAGTTTAATAATATTTTTGAAGTTTGTGTTGGAAATGAATAGTGAAATTTACATTTACCACATTTTGCTGTCATTATCGACTGCGTGAGTGTCGATAATGACGGTACTCGATGAATTCATATGGCTCAGGTGGCTTATGTTCAGCAGTGCCTGTTTGGGATCATGTAATTAATAAAATTAATACTGAACCCAAGCATACCACCGTCAGATTTTAAGACAAGTTCATTCTGCGTAGATCGTACCAAAAGTAATAATTAAAAAGCTGAAGGTACTCCGGATTAACTCTGAGATCGGGACGTCAATCACCTCAACCTCCCCCCGTGACCATGGGTGTTGGGACGCACCCGAAAGGTCGGGAATTAAAATTCTTTATCTTTTTATCTTTTTTTTTAAACGTTACCTCCACACTAGGATTTTCTCCTGTATCGTGGGGGCAGTTAACAAACATAAATTTCACAAATTTTTGATATCGACCATAACGCAAATACTACGGATCTACACGAAACTAGCGGCCGGCCACATCGCAAACACAACATTGCGTCATCTAGGGTTGTAACGCAACCACAACGCAACTGCAAAAAGCTGCAGCGTAACTATTCACACGTAACCGCATTTTTTCACTACGTTGTGGTGTGGTTGTGGTACGTGTGGGTCGACCCTTATACGTTGTACACTAAGTTACGATTAATTCTGCATAATTTCTTTAGTCGACTGCGAACGGGCGAAAACACTAGTACTTTGTTTTGTAAACGGCGTACATTGTTTTCGGAAATCTAACACTGATTTTGTTTAATGTGACTAAAAAAACGTTGCCGTTATTTATGTGCGCACTTTGTCAACGTGATTTGAAATTTATTTTAGAGAAGTATGTAACTTTATTTCGTATTTATCTAAAAACAGTAACTACTATTAACTGTGACAACAGTTTTTGTTGTGAATTGCCGGTCTAGTAGTATACATAGAAATCTTTGCGAAGGTGATGTAGACCTGAGGATGCCTCGTGTAGAGGCGAAACGTGTCATATTGTCGTCGATGGTGTGTCTTTCCTGAAATATTGGTGTTGGGAGTAGTGGTGCTGGGAGTAGTGGGTAGTGGTGACGGGATTGGTGCACGCAATTGAGGGAGGGCGGGAGGTGCTCTTCAATCCAGATAAGACATATCATTGTATTTAGTTAGCGGAAGGTTGCAAATTAATTAATATCTTTATTATAATGGATTTCCGCAAAGTAACGCCTGATTCTATCAATTAGTGTTCCCTTTTGTTTCCGTTCTGACGGTACTGGATAATAATTTTTGAATATCGTGCTTACGCACTCTAAAACAATTTATATGTGGTAGAGATATGCTGCAGCTGTTATGGGTGTCGCAGGAATAGGTCGGCTCGACCGGGCAAGGACCACGCTCTCACAGAATACCAGCTCAACGGTACTGTGTTTCGTATGGTGAATGTAGAGAACCGGAGACCCTTTTTACTGGAAATAAGGCATTTCATCTTCATCCTCAGCGGTGACAACGGATCTGAATTTTGATTCTTAGCCAAGGACAAATGTCCATTTACCATCAAGTGGGCTGTGTGCTCGTTTATCACTCCTTTTCTATAAAAAATATATGCACCAATATTACAAGTAAGACTAAGTTGTCAACACGCCATCGTGAGGTCAAAATACTATACGTCATTTCAGATTTCTTAGGCATGTACCTAAACACCTAAAAAAGTAATATTTAGTTTTTTAGACAAGATACACACTAAAGTGAACGTTGTATTTGCCCGCATATTTTATACTAATTACTTAGTATAAAATATGCGGACATTGTAAAATATTTTTTTTATCTAATACTAACTAGGTTCAAGGTTATATTTGAAATGTTATTGTTTCTTAAAAGGGAATAATAGACATTAAGTCCCTACATATAACGTTAAACTTGCCGCATCAAAAGAGATTTAATCGATAGAGTATAGAAAACCTTGTAGAATAACATCCTCGTCCTGCCCATTGTGATTTCAAAATCACAAAACGTACTTCACTGTTCCTGCCCATCTAAAATATTGTGAAATTCTAAATTCTGCCCACTGTCCTTCAAAAATCACATTCAAATTTCGCGCCTAGAATTTGTATTTTCTACTCAGCTGTCGTTTTTGAAGTTTCCTGTGATTGGTTAGATTATAACCAATAAGTGAACCTTAAATCTATTCGAGTAATAGACAACAGATTAACGTCAGAAGCCATTCACGTGTTAAAGATGGAGAAGAGGTATGTTTAATCTCTTATTATCATTTAGATAGGTGGCTTTTCTTTATTAAAAGTAAACAGGATTAAAGTTAAATAATCAATACTTTGACTTTTGTAACTATTTTTGATTTTCGTTAATAATTGTATTTTTAGTAAACATAACTAATATTATGTGGTGCAAAAATTACATCGGGCAGAACTTTCCGGAATTCGTACGACTAGAAAGCAGTATGAGTTCTACGGAGAAAGAAAGGGATAGACCTGATGTAAGTACATCATTTATACAAGCTTGCGGAAGGACTAGGCGAGGCACGCGGAGAGTTTCTCGTGGACGGTCAAGAGGAAGGTTGCGTGGGCGCACACGTAACAGCACTGGCAGCAGAATAGACAATATACCGTCAACTACGGACTAGTCTCAGCAAGAATTTTCCCGTATTCAACGTTTTTTAACAGAACCGTCATACCAGCCCATTAATTCAGAACATTTTTTTTTCAAGATTGTTTATTTTAATCAGTACTTGGACGACGGGATATTAACACATGGGTGTCAGCTAAAAGATGATCGAATAGTGAAGTCTGAAGGCAGAGGCAGCACTCATGTGCTGGTGAGGCCAGATGGTAAATTGGCTGTTACTAAATGGTTTGACAACAAGCCACTTATTTTTTTATCGACTATTGAGGCCGAGGAGAACTCAGATTTCTGTCAACGCTGGTGCAAAAAAACTAAAACATATCTAACTGTTACAAGACCACAAGTTGTACGCGAATACAATAAAAATATGGGCGGCGTTGATTTAGCCGACCGCTTACTTGCAGTCTGCCCTAATAGATACAAAACTAATAAATGGACACAGAGATTCTTGTCTCATATGATTGATTTGGCTGTCAGTAACAGTTGGCTTCTATTTAAAAAAGATGAGATAAAAAAAGGTAAGGTGTACCAGTGAAAAAAATACTGAGGCTTCTAGAATTTAAATTACAACTTGGAGAAGATTTGCTAGAAGAAATCCTTCGAAGCACAAACAATCAAGAGAGCTCTGATGATAGTGACTTACAGACTAACCAGAATATTCCACGAAGAAGAGGTAGACCAACTATTACTCTTTCAAATAAGAGCCACTGATTTTCTCAAGCAAAACATATGCCTATATTGGAAGAGAAACAGTCCAGGTGCAGGTCCTGCCATTACAACAAAACACACTTTAAATTTAGTTCATGTCAATTTAAACTTGTGCTTAACTAAGCAAAGAAATTGCTTTGCTGATTTCCATGCGTAACTATTTTTTAAAAAGATTTGATTTTTTAAAGTTTATTAAAATTAAGAGAAGGTTTTGGTTTATTTTTATTTTTTTGTTTGATTTGTTTAATTATTTTTAAGTCCAGAGAGGCTGCAATAATAGTTAGTACATTAATTACTAAATAAAGAGATGAAAATTCAATACTGATTAAGAATACATAATAAATAACATAAAAAGTTACTCTTGTTTTATTTACCCCATTGAACCCAGTGTCTTTTATGAAGGACAAATAAAATACATCTGATTTTGGTAATTCTGCCCAGTGTACTGTAAAAAGAACAAAATGTATGATTTTAAAAATAGCGTGAATCGTTTCATTATGATCTATTTACTGCAATAAAAAAATATAAAAAAATTTATATCTTATGCAAGACCTTTTTTTTGTTCTAATTATTCTGGGCAGGAAGCACTTGTTAGATTTTGTACTTTGAAGAGAACAGTGGGCAGAATGCCCAAACAGGTTCTAATTTGCTTGGGCTTGACGAGGATATAACTATTAGGCACACATCACTGTGCGAGCTAAAATGCACTTTATTGCGCTGTAGCAAGAGTCGCTAATTTGTAAAAATGTGTTGCGGAGTGTTCCTTCTTTACCTTGGACTATTGTTTTGTGACTGTAATATATTTATTGTTATCAAAGGCATTTAAGTAGTAATAGACCGGACATCAACAACAAAATTGTCATCTGTAACTTTTGTCCTATAGGATATATCTCCGATTTTTGTCATTTAGTCTAAGTGACGTCACCGAAAGGTCAAGGCGCATTCGTTTCATAAATTTAAAAAATATTTTTAAAGAAAATATGCCCGGTTGTGCATTAACGTATAGTATGTCACGATATGAAGCAAAAATGAACATGATTTCGGTTTATTATCCTAAGAATAATGTATATTTACCAAATAATCTTTAAATTTTATTATTTCTGGTAGATTATTCTAGAAGAAAGAAAAATTATTGTAATAAGTGCCCTCTGTTATCCAGTAACGTCACTATTTATTTACAAATATATGTTAGTAATTGACGACGTGCCAAAAACTGAAAAAAAATTACCGTATATTTAGAAGCGTCACCTAATGGGAAATAGCTAAAATGTTTTATCCAAATAAATATTCAGCGTAATATTGCTCTTTTTCGCTAGAGGGCTTAACACACGCGCGTGCTCACAGTTTTTATATGCAAATGTTCCCAATGTCCGCTCTATAGTGTATATATATTTAAATATATTTGATTGTTATATATTTATTATATTATTATTGTTGTGTACATTACGAACTTTTTAAAAGTACTAAGCGTAAAGCGTTAAAAGCGTTTTAACCCGGCGGTACTCGCTAGGTAATTACGGACACGAACACTCGCTACTGGGTAAAAAATACCACAGAATTAGTTTGACATTATTTAAAGAAATTCGTAACATTTTAAATTTTTACCATGTATTAACTTTATTTACACTATGTTCTATGAATAAAACTACAAGTGCAAGTTTTAGTCATCTTTTATTTTAAACGAGGCCTAATTATTAATTAATAACAAAATCTTTAAAAATTCTTTGTATTCTTTACAAAAACAACAAAAAATACCTTTTTTCTTAAGAATCATGCAAAATTGAGATCTATATTCAAAATAGACATATTGTTTTACCAAATGAACACAAAATAATTATACTTTTATTATAAGCGAAGTTTGAGAAAATCATCAACAAATAGCTTGCTTCTAAATGTCAACGCCAATCAAAATTACTTTACTCTATCAAAACACTCGCCACAGGTCGTATGCTCTTTTCAAATCTTTTTGCAACATAATTTACAGACTGTCTTCGTTTTTCCGGTCCTTTTTCCAAACACATACTGCACAGCGAAGTGCTGAAGTGGAAGCTGTGGAAGGTCGCGAATCAGCTAAACTCTCGGATGGGGATTCTTCATTCGAGTTGGCACTAAGGATATACTTTATTTTTGATTTTATATATGGTGACAAATTATGAACCGTGGTCCTCCTTTTTATTTGTGGAATCACAAGTCCCAAAGCTAGGTCTTTCAGAGCAATTCTTCTCTTAGCCATCACAGCTCCATTATTTTCTTTATTTGCTTTTACAATAACGTACGTATTTAATGCCACCGATATTCAAAAGCCCATAAAAAACTACTAAACAGCCATTGAAATAATACTAATTTTTACGGAATTTATCGCGTATATTTAGCTTTTTTACCCGACGTTTCGAGAGCTTTACAGCACCCATGGTCACGGGAAGGACTGAGATGTTCAACGTCCAGCTGTCATAGTTAACCGCGGTTACCATAGATTAAAATTTAACTTTTGTTCCGATCTACACAGTATGAACTTATGGTATCATGGAGTCTTGCAGTTGTATGCTTGGGTTGGGATTTAATTTTATTTATTATAGGATCCCAAGCAGATGGTAGCACCCAGCCATCTTCTCTATTGAAATTAGGATGTTTTTTGATTTCAATAGCCTCGCGAATCATCCTTGGAAGGAATCGGTGTTCTTTAGCGAGGATTTGTGGTCTATCAAATCTGATGTAGTGACGGGGGCGATCCTGTACATGTTCACAGACTGCAGACTTCCCGGAGCGTCGATTCTTCACATCAGGTATCACATGTACAGGATCGCCCCCGTCACTACATCAGATTTGATAGACCACAATCCTTAAAGAACACGATTCCTTCCAAGGATGATTCGCGAGGCTATTGAAATCAAAAAACATCCTAATTTCAATAGAGAAGATGGGTGCTACCATCTGCTTGGGATCCTATAATAAATAAAATTAAATCCCAACCCAAGCATACAACTGCAAGACTCCATGATACCATAAGTTCATACTGTGTAGATCGGAACAAAAGTTAAATTTTAATCTATGGTAACCGCGGTTAACTATGACAGCTGGACGTTGAACATCTCAGTCCTTCCCGTGACCATGGGTGCTGTAAAGCTCTCGAAACGTCGGGTAAAAAAGTTAAATATACGCGATAAATTCCGTAAAAATTAGTATTATTTCAATGTGTAGTGTTCGCGTAAATATAAGAAATACTAAACAGCCATCATCTGGTTGTCCGTGCAACTGAGTAGATAGCACACATCTCATCCACAACATCGACACCACCTTTGTTCGCGTTATAATCTATTATTTCGGGCTTTCTTTCTTCTCCTGGAACTTTTTGGCTGTCATGGTGCATAGTCGATGCTAAGAGAACTACTTTTTTTCTTTGGGACGTAAAACACCACAGTACAGTTTTTTGAAACCCAAAAATTGTAGTGTGAATTTCCCGAATTACTGTGATCGTATGGCCCTTAATTTTTTCCAACATAAACTTCTAAATTATATGTATGAAGCCGCCAGCTTACCTGTCTGCCTTCTTTCAGCTCTTGTATGAATATCGTCAAAACATAAACTTCTTGAAATCTTTCGCGTGATATAGTGGCAATACATATATCGCTACCACTTCCATCCTTTTCCCAGAGATATTTTGTGTTTACATGATCACTTCCCGGTCGTCCACACAAATAAAGTAATCCAAAAAGAGCTCTTATTTCAATAATATCCGTTTGCTTACAGTCACGTTCTCTTGAGTAGTTATATTTCAAATTTTGAATATACATGTCTGTATAGTGGATTTATTTTGTAGGAAAGACTGGAAAAATAAGATCCCAGGCTTCTAACATAGACGACCAACATTTTCCTTCGCCAATGGGACCCGGCAAGTGTAGAATAATATTATGAGATCTCGTTCGCACACTCCGTGGTGGCTCGCGGACTTGCCACTCAGTTCTTTTGTCTTTTCCAATAAACTTCCCTAGTCTACGATGCTTCAATGGCACATTTTCTAAATATTCTTTATAAATCTCTTCATTTTCAGTCTGTGGATCTAACTCTAATGGGCGACGAGGGTGGGAAATTTCTTCTAAATCTGAGGGTGTGTCTGAATCATTTGCTTCCTGCTCCGTTTCCTTTTATGCTCACTCTGTTCTTCGAAATCTTTTTCCGACACAATTTCTTCTTCATTGTCTTCCTCTTCAAGCAATTGTGCTATTGTATTCTCCTTAAGTGGACAAGCCATTGTGAAAAAGCACTAATACAAAAAAATGTTCATTAGCAAACCGAAAAATAATATAACGAAAACAGTCGCTACTGGGTAATTTTTACCCTTACGCACTTTATACGTCCATTGTCGCTAAGCGCCGCACGCAAACAGGCTGCCCCGTGACCCGCGCATGGAATATCATTCAGCTTGAAGGTACCTAGAATTGCAATTTGCTCGCGCGCTTTAAAAAAAGTTAGCTTAGAATTTAAGTACTCTATGGTATTTTTTACCCCCATGGAATGTCTACAACAAGTGGGTATGAGCCTGTCGAGCGCTTAGCTACCTATGATAGAAAAGTCAGTAAGGACTTCTTCACGCACACTGATCAAAAAGCATATTTAGCGAAGCCATTAGTGTGTATTGTCGTATCAAATGACAGCGTAAGAGTTTGATCTTTATTATATATCAATCAATCAGTTGGCTGCGGAACATGTTTTGTGACATTCCTTGGGCGAAGAATATGTTGAGGAGTAGTCTTTGAAAGGCTGTAGTAATGATGATACAACAAATGATAGTCCTTTTTTTTAGAATATTAACAATGTTATAAACATTAAACATTACTAATATTCCCCTTAACCACTCGTGGTATTTTTGTTGCCTGTGTTACGAGTGGTTCACGCCAGTAGTCGAATGGCGGTTTCGAACCCACGACCTTTTTGAGTTCGCGGGCCGCGCCCTGCCATTAGGCTACTCTCGCTTTGTCTGTATGTAGCTCTGTTTTGGTATTCAATATTTTTGTTTTTTTTTGTTTCAGGAATTCTTTTCACAAGTCTGATCACAAAAGGCAAAAGTTAAAAAGTAAAGAATCAGAACCGCGAAGTAGCAGAAGCGCGTCGTCCTTGCTCTTAGATCTCACCGACGGTAAATCCTATATGCCTTCCTCTGTAAGCATTACTCCTATAGGATCTAGTTCGTCTAACTCAGCCACTAGCGGCTCGGGATCAAATCTATCTTCAATGTTGTGTCTAGATCGTCGACCAGGCATAGAAATAATTCCTATTTCATCCGCTGCCCCTGCAGCTTTGCCAAGCTCAATTACTATAACACCGATAACATCATCACAACTAAAATCCCTCGACTCCAGGTCTGATAAGAAATCTAGTAAGTCCAGCGAAGAACGCAGCAAAGAAAAGAAGAAGAAAAGACGGAGAGACGACTCCATGGGACCACCTGAAAAAGTGCCTCCAAAACAAGATCCATTGACGAAACCCGTTTCAGTAAGTATAAAACCGACTGATGGTTCTCCAATGCGTCCCTCTTCCCCAAACTCCATTTTACGAAAATTTAGTCCAAGCCCAACTCACGGTAGGTCAGTATCAATAACAAAATCCCCGAGCCCAAGCTCAGTAAAAAATTTAAGTAAACCAACAGGTACGTCGAGTCATCACAGCAGTCCACGACATTCACCCGTCCAAAATAGTCCCAAACACTTGACTGGATATTCGAGTCCAAAAAACCACAGCATTTCTTCCCCTAAACATAGTTCTTCGGGTTCGGGAAAACCTAGTATGTCCACGTTAAAGTCCGCAACCAGCGGTTCCCCTTCTGGAAAATCTGGTACCACAGGGTACGATTTATCAAAAAAGCTCTCTAAAGATAGCTACGGCTCCAGTTCACTTACATCTAGGGATAAAGAAAAGAAGCATTCCGGTTTATCTTTTTCTAGCTCCGGTAGAAGTAGTCCCAAGTTAAAAAACCCAATGAAATTGAAGCAACTTGAAATCACACCAGTGTCTTGTGACAGTCCTGTTACTGAACCACTAATTTCGCCGCCAAATATAGAAGTGAATAAATCGAATGCACCAAGCCAAGCGCGAAACAGAAAAGGTTCACTTAGTGCTGTTATTGATAAACTAAAATCGGCGCACCACAGTGCTGATCCCGATCTTGGGAGTGGCAAGTCCAGTGGTTCATCTAGTAGTGCGAACAAGTTTTCCGACCCAAAAAATAGTGCAGCTAGTGGCAGTATGAAAATAAGTGAAAGCAAAAATCAAGAATACATGGTCAAGCCAAGTTCTGATGGAATGAAGATTACCATCAATAAAACAAGGTCTAAAGAATCCTCTAGTAGTTCGAAACTGAATTACAGTAGTTCCAGCTCAAGTAAGCAATCCTCACCTCAGTTAACTCCACCGAGTCAAGGTTCCCCTAAAACTCATACTGGCCTAAAGCCAGGCGTCATAAGTGGACCGGCCTCTAAAAAAACCCAAGCAATGCAATCTTCTAAATCGAGCATGTCCAGTAGTTCTACTCCACCTAAAAGCAATACCAGTCCGTCAGAATCTTCAGGTTCAAGTAATGTTCCTAAAGTGCCTTACAAGTCAAGCACCAACACTACCGGAATAAATTTATCTAAATCAGTGTCAAAACCTAGTTCTGGTTCACCAAAAAATAGCAGCTCTGACCTGTCTAAGGTTATACGTGATAGAGAAAGAGAGAAAGCTAGAACAAAACTTATGACTAATTCTGAAAAATCCATTTTTTCTTCTAAATCTGAACGACATTCTAGTCCCAGCAGTTCTAGGGATGACGTAGATGGTGATAGATTTAAAACTTCTAAAGAAACTAACTTTTTAGTGGAAGGATTAATCAAACCTCTCGATACTAGCAAGTTTCAAATACCGAAACTAAAAAACCAAAACACGCCGGACAAAAACAGTCCAGTCTCACAATATGATAATCGTTCGTTAGTTAATGATTTTGCGCGAAATTTAGAAAATAAATTTCAGTTTCCCCACTTTGACAATTCAAATGCTAGAAATGCAGAATCGTTACAAAAATCTGGATATCCTTTGAACGTACCCAAGCCATTGCTAAACATGGGTGCCATGAGTCCAAAAACTGTACCTTCAAGCAAATTAGAGCAGTCAGCTGGAGATTTTACAAAAAACTTGGAAAGCTTAGCGAAAGGGGAAAGCCCTCAAAGAAGTAAAGACGATTCAAAAGAGGGGTTTTCTGGTGCATACCCAATGTTGCCTTTGGATTTTAAGACGGACATGGCTAAGGGGTTTCCAGCACCCAAGGGAAGCTCAGAGGATAGGAAGGGTGCCGATTCTTGCATGAAACCTCCAGCGAGTGGTTCGGTAGCAAGAAGTGGGGCAACAACACCACAAGAGGCAGCTGAAATGCTACTAGACTTTTCTTCGTCATCTGGAAGCAAAGTGTCTGGACTGGTAGCTGTCAGGCCCGTCTATCCTGCGTCCCCTGCACTAGCTTTGCAACTAGCCAAAAGTCCCGCCCCCTCCCCCTCTCGTCGCTCCCTCACCACACTCCAACTCTCCTTGCATTACCGATGACGAGCTCATGGATGAAGCTCTGGTAGGCCCTGGTAAATGAGTAGATATAAAAAAACATTTCGTATATTTTAGAATGTGTAAGTCACAAGACTTGTTCATTTAATTAACCTTGTAAAAAATATTTATAATTTTAAATTCATGTTTCATGTTCTATTTATATTATATTTATTTTACAAGTAATCCATTTTAAGCTCTTGATGGTGTTTTAATAATGTTACAATATGTTTTAAAAAGCGTTGAGGCGTACTTTGTGATTTCTGATGTACATATTTATAATAAATCAATTTATTAGTGTGTCATACGATTGTAATTTAAAAGACTAGAAATCCGATGTGAAATAACGACTACTGTATTAGGGACTATCTTCAACACAACTGCCATTAATGAAATACAATTTAGTATAGTTATCTACATTGTGTCCTAATATTGTTTGGGGAATGGGAAGGACCTTATACTGATGTAAATATCAAATATTAAGGAACAAAATTGATATTAAACAAATAAGGCATTTATAAATGCTTATAGGAAAATAGATTTTTAGAAATAAATACTATTTAAACAATACTTTGTTTTCTTTTTTTACTTATGCTTTTATAATGAAATATTCTACATTACATACTCTTAAATGACTAATTATTGGCAAGTTTATACACATAATTCAATAAAACCTTAGAGAGCCGTAGTGGTAAAATGGATAGGGGTAATAAAAGTAAAATCTTCTGAATGGATATGGATTCCTTCTAAAATTTCTCCTTGTGGCAAAGCGCCGTCTCGGTTTATGTCTATTTCTCATAATAGGAATTGGAACGAAACCTGCTGCTGTTTCCATAATTTCTTCAGGATCTTTGTTTAACATTTCATTTACATCACTGAAAGAATCAAATATTGACTGAGGTTCTTGTGCCTCTCCCTCTCCCTCAATAATAAGAGAAGCTTCTTCACCCAGTGCTGCAAAGTCGTTAGGTACACCGTTAATACTTTCCTCTATAACGATATCCACTTCAGTGTCACCATATTTCTCCGTGACTTCATTATTGGTGTCCGATTCAATGTTTATCTTTTTCTGATCCACTTCTTGTTCATTTTGTTTCAAAGGTGACGCACTGCTCACTGTCAATAGCTCATTGTGGTTTTGGTTCAAATTATTTTCAGATTTAGCGACTACACTAAGCACCCCACCTAACAGCAGGTAAAATGGCAAGCAAGTTTTCATTTTTTCTGAAAAATACACAATATCCGTTAGACAGTTGACAGTAGAATGAAGTACAGATGAGGAGCGCTAGCTTTATACCACAAAAATGTGGGACAAAGAAAGGCGATACTCGAAAGTTGTTTGTTTAAATAAAGAATTAGAAGCACTCAGTCGGTCCGATTCCTTGTACGAATACTGTTTAAAGTATTTAGTATATCGCATTTAATTTCATACAACATATTTTATTTACCAATTCATTATTTATAAATTTATCAAAATATTTATATATTATATTTATATTTTATAATATAACTTGAGAAAATATTGGGGTTGCAAGATATTATGAATAGATTTTTAACGACTCATTGGTTAACGACTCATTGCCAAACGACCGAGAGAGAAAATTGCAGCTCGGACTAATTAAAAATATCAAAATTGACGAAATCATCATCTCGTTTTCCCCTATTTCCTCGTACAAAACCGGACCGATTACAATTTTCTTTTCAATAATACAGTAACACAAGGGTTGTCGCTATGTCTATATGGTTTTATTTTATTTTTTAAGTTCGTTTCATTTGCTTGCTTACTTCTAATAACGGTGTTATAACTGGGCAGTTTTGGTAATTATAGAAAGGTTCCTTTACTTTGGAAATAATAAATTTACGAAACATAGAAACCCTGGTAGAAATGGATTTTATCAAAAGCAAATATTTACTCAAGTGTCATTACCCACGGAGAAAACCGAGGAATACGTTCGTATAGACTTATCACCGCTCGGATATCCTCTTAAAGGTACAGTGCTATGAATTTGTTCTCTTCCTTTATACAAATAAATGCAAAAGTTTGTATATTAATATAAAATAAAAATTAAAAACGTTTCAATGGGCCCCAGCATCTACTTACCGTCAGTTGAACTATGTGCTCATTTTGAATATAACTACTTTTACAGATTTTATTGCGCTTTGCTGCACTCATGCTGGGCACAGCGCGCACTGAAAGCACTCGAAATCTAAGGAATTAAAAAATTGTAGAATTAAACGCGATAAAATCCGTAAAAGTAGTTTTATTTAATGTGTAGTGTTCGCGTAAATATAAGAAATCATTATGTGTGCTCGTTCTCAATATAAAAACTCACCTCTCTCTCTCAATATAAAACCTCAGTATAAAAACCCAGGTTGGTACTTAATAGGAAGTAACGATTGTGCCAGGTGTCGCGATTTCGAATGATGGATAATAATACCGCAACGAATTAGAGTGGATATAATAAACTTCAAGTTCTATGAGCAGCGTTTATTTTTTGCGAGAACCAAGTTGTAATAGCGAAACCCTAAAAATAAGTTTAGACATTTGGCTAAACTCCTATACATGCTAAGTTCTATACATATAATCATTAGGTGAAAACGAATAGTTTACTTACATAAAAACGTTGTTGCGGACAAGGTCGACCTACTCGAGAGCTTACATTAGACCGCCTTGGAGCCTGATTTTGTCGTCTTTGTGCCCGTGCTTGTTCTCTCCGTTCTTTCAATATTCTCATAGCAAACCGCGGCAGAAAGGGATTTTGCGATTCCGCTGTATCCATAATTTCACCGTCGATTTGAGATTCGGTATTGTGTAATGCCACGTTACTATTCCCTTCCAGAGGTTTAGATTCAATTTGAATTATAAATATAAACACGAGTGCGATACTATAAAATATTATTTTTGGAAATGCCATTATTAATTCGTTCTCGTAAAGTTTCCACAACTAATCCGAATATAATCTGAGTGATGAGTAGGAGATGACATCCCATTTTATAGGGTATCTCGTTCCAGTGACACACATTATGTGCATATGTTTACAGTACGGGTGTTTTAGGAAAACGTAACGGGTCATACGGTTGCTTCCAATTAACACGTAGTCACTCGTATTCATCGACCATGCCTCAAATGAAACACCCGCAATGTCACTTGAATATCGTATTAAAATGTTTTTTCGTTATTAAGTTTTTTACCTTATAAAGAACTAGCTAAACCTCGAAGACGTCCTGCCAGTTGATATCATAGGTTGTGTTTAGCGCCGTTTTTTATTTTAGCGCATGCAATTTAAATTGACGGCTCCGTGTCGCGGTGGCTTAGCAATGAGTTACAGTGCTAAGGGACGTGGGTTCGAATTCCGCACGGAACAAGCATTTGTATGGCCTACAAATAATTGTTCCTGGTATAGATGTTTGTTTGTGAAGCCCTAGTTTGGAGGTGACGTTTTTAAAAAGAAGAAAAAAAAAGAAATTTATTGTTGCCGCGCTTGATCGAAAGAAAAAAACAAATAAAATCAACAATTAAAAAAATTGTTTAAACATGTTTTGGTTTATAAATATAAACTTTCTCCATTAAAAATACATATATGTACCAATTTTCATGGTGATCGATCAAATAGATTTTGAGTTAAACGATTTCATATATACAAACATTCTCTTATAGTACCTATATTTTATATCAAAAAATGTGTTTTATAGCAATTACTTACTATAAAACATTTATATCGATGTAACGTATTTCATATCATAGAAATATAAAAATAATAACATCATAGATGAACTGCGTAGATGATTACCTGCCATAGGTTGTGTTCAACAATGTTTTTTTTTTACTTTTCCGCATGCAATTTATTTTTTAATTGCCGCGCTTGATTTATAAAAAGGCAAATATAAAATAAAATAATTGAATGTTGTTTAAATTTTTTTATTTTTTTTTTTTTATTTATAAATATAACCCTTCTCTGATGAACCCTATCTGATGCAGAGTCAAGTAGGGAGAATTAACCCTGACTGACTGTTCTAGACCTCTGAACTTGAATTGGATGATTTAGTAATCAATTTACAAGTAAGGATTTTTAAGTTTACGATATGCATTCTATTCTTTACGTCTTCTTTACCCCGACAAACATGAATATGCCAGTTGAACACGTGAAACCATTAAAATATCAAACTGCATTATTTGAACTATGAATATGAGCACTTGCGATTCACATGTTGATTTCCGTCACTGTCAAGGTGCTGCTGACTCACACTTTACAGAACAAATACCCATAAAATTGCAATAAACCACGATAAACAGTTTACAATTCAGTTTAATTATAGCTTTAATTAAATCATGTACTTCACAATTATTACAAATGGTTTGTTATTTAGTCTTATTAATAGAAATTATCATTTTCATGTTTATTTCATAGTTTACTTTTGTATATTTTGTTATTTTTTTGCATAAAATGTTCAAAAGTTTATTTAAAGTAATCAGATTTTAGTGTGACATTTTCATAGACCTATAACTTCCGACTACATTAGGCGGTATCTACTGTGCAGGTTAAAGTGTCACAAACGATAACAAAGTATATAATTAGTGATTGAAATATCAAGCGATCTTAAAAAAATTGATTGAAATTTAACAACTCCCGAGCTGCGGGTTTCTCTGCGTGATAAACTTAGAAATGAGGATATCCGTAGTGGACCAAGAGTTACCGAAACAGCCCAGCGGTTTAGTAAGATGAAGTGGCTATGGGTTAGCCACAGAAATCTAAACTGCCTTATTATTTAGATTTCTTTGGGATCAGCCATATAGCTCGAAGAACCAACAACCAGTGGAAAATAAATGTTCTCGAGTTCCCCATTAAGTTAATGTAAGCCTGTCCCGTTGTAAGGAACATTTGCTTTAATCGTCAGCTTTGCAAGCAGTTTGATCGCACTACATGTGGGAGTGCCACGCTGCAGCTATATTATGGTAGTGGCACAAATGGATCGGCTCGACCGGGGAAGGACTCACAGAATGCTAACGTAAAATAGCAACTTAGTTCAACATAATCTCGAAATGTAACCCAGTCATTTCATCTTGGTCCTCTGGGTTGACAACTTATTTGTATTTTGATTCTTAATCAAAGACAGATGTAGATGTCGCATCCATTTACCATCAGGTGGACTGTGTGCTCGTTTATCGCCCTTATCCTATAAAAAGCTAATTAAAGCAAATCATTAAACAGTATGAAAATTGCCCATCCGTATGAGACCATTAATTAGACTTATATATGTCCTGTCATATATAGCTCTGCTTCTCTGCATAAAGGATTCGGTTTGGGTTATACCAACTTGTCCATTTTAAATTTTACGCAGTGCGCCCACTGCTGTATTACATTTTAAAGGGGAAGATAAACAATAATATAATTACAATCTGTTAGGCATTTCATCATAGTAATCAAAAGTGACAACATATCTTTGGTATATACTTAAATACCTTTAAATATGGTTGCAGGTGCATATGATCTGCAGAAACCATTTACCATCAGGTCGACTGTCAGGCTCGTTTGCCACTAATATAAAAAAAGGATGAAACAATTGCACGCCTTACAGCGTGAGACAGTGCTCTACTCTCGATATGTGGCCATACCTCAATTTCGCTATATAAAATCGTTCTTATACTTATAATAATATCCTCCAGACAGAATTTCGGCCACGGCGGCCTGCCTCACCGGAGGCTAGTCATCGGCGCAACGGATATATACGGATATATCGGATTTGATGAAGGTGCTCCGACTTTTTTATAGAATTTTATATTTGTGTCTGGAATAAAAACGAAAGTATTATACTTTTTTATATTCCTTGTAATATAGTAAACACGTAGATATGTAATTTGTGGTATAAAAAGTGAAAAGTAAATTGCCAAAAGTACTTCAAATTCCGGAAGGCCCGTTTTGGCGGGTGGGTCATAAATGTGTTATTTTTCAAATTCTCATTTATTTTTAGTGTAAAATGTAAGTAAAAATAGTTTTCCTACATATTTCAAATAACATGACGTTGTATTTATTTCAAATTCACACAAACATATTTTAGAAATATTGTTCGAAATGTCATACAGATAAAATATTTTTTTTTTATTTTTTTATATTTTAATATTTTGGTATGAGTAACGAATGGAAACACATAAAACATAAAAATATACATATTTCCAAACAATTTCATATAAATTTCTCCAAAAACAAAAGTGTAGAATTCAAATTAGTAGTAATTTTGTCACTAAAATTGAAGTATATACTACTACTATGCTATACAGGGTAATTTATATACTTTATTACAATTTCTAGCAACCAAAAATAATTTTATTCGATAGTTTATACATTTAACAAGAATTCCTGTAAGTTTTATCCATAAATATTGTCTCAAAGTGAAAATATAGCAAAATTTGCAATATAGCAAAAAAATTTTCTAAGTTACAAATTTTCCCGCCATTAAGGTCCCGAGCGAACGGGAGTATAACATGTCGCGCGCTGTCAGAGTGAAGTAGCTAGACCCGGGATTCGAACCCAGGACCTCATGATGAGCAGTCGCACTAATACAAGCACTAGACCGACGAGGCAGTCGTAAGTCTTATAGCTAGGCATCAAAGCCATATTATTATTAACAAATCATCAATGTCTGTAACATTGAATTAAAAGATTAGTTTATTTTAAATTAATTCACTTTAGATTACATAATCAAAAATATAATTGAAAAAAATATTTATGAATTGCCTTCCGTTGATCTGTGCGTCGGTAAGTTTTCTCGCTCAATAGAAATGTAAGCAATAGACTAAGATATACAGTATTAAATTTAAAAAAAATAGGATAGGGTGGCAAACGAGCACACAGTCCACAAGATGGTAAGTAGTTGCTGCGGCCTATAGACATCTATCCTCGATTACAAATCAAAATGTAGATAGATGCGTTGTCACCCGTGAGGACTAAGATGGAATGCCTCGTTTCCGGTAAAAAAGGGTCTCCGGATCTCTACACTCATCATACGAAACACAGCGGTATTAAGCTGCTATTTTACGCTGGTATTCTGTGAGAGCGTGGTCCTTCCCCGGTCGACCCGCCCCATTTGTGCTACAAACACAATACAGCTGCAGCGTGGCCCTACTACGTATAAAGATCCATTCATCATTTGATAAAATAATGTTATAATTAAATAGGTAATAATTTGCAGGTAAATTACAATTAGCTCTTATATAATTTCCAACCTACTTATGGCACGCACGCACCATTTTTTGTTATCTATAGACAATAATAAGGTATGAGTTTAGCACAAGAAATGATATGAATAAATACTACACAAACTCAAGGTAACGACTGGAATGTCGTCTAATGGGACCACTAATCTAAACACTCACGCCTGTCACTCAGAGGGGTAGGCAGAGACTACAGACTTCCATTTGGCACGATCCTGACACCTCTCTCGCCTCCTCCACATCCATATACTTACGCATACATGCTCGTCGATTAAGGGTAGCTACTCTTAATTGTAGGGTAATTTGGCCCATTTTAAATATATCGCAAATTTTGTCGATAAACTTTCGCCTAAGACGTCCCTTTTCGACATAAATATAAATAGGTTTACGGAATGATTTCTTATATTTACGCTAACACTACACATTGATTAAAACAATTTGACATTCGACTGTATGTTATTCTTTTTTTGTCAATTGTAAACTATAATAATTATTTTTTATTAAATTTAATAAATCTATTTGTATTGATTAAAACTACTTTTACGGATTTTATCGCGTTTAATTTTAATTATTTTTAATTCCCGACGTTTCGGGTGCTTTCCAGCACCCATGGTTACGGGTAGGGAATGCAATCTCGCCGATCCGCAATCCCGCAAATGCGGGATCACGCATGAAATTAGCGGGATTACAAATGCGGGATAGCAC